TACTGCCTCGTGGAGAAAACCACTGGCCTGTAGTTATTTCTATGACTGATGGTGTCGCCGCGAATAGCTGCAATACTGTTGATGTGGCTTTAAGCAATATTTACTTTCTCACTGACAGTGATATTTTGTTTCCAGTTTCCTCACACTTTAATGTTTTCACTATCACTGGACATTCATGTACACAATTTCTTTTGTTAAATTATATTGAGCATGTTGAGGATTTTAATTTAAAGTACATAGGAAACTGTACCAAAGGGAGAGGACTCTACTCTAGGCTACATATAGGACTTTGTGTATATAAATTACATGATAGCATTTTCAAGCCCAAGTCATAAGTTTGCTAAATGCTGCCTGGAGAATGAAGAGCATGAAAGAAGCATGACCACCGGACTACTAACGTGCGCATGCGCCTTGACCTTATGATATTACGCATGCGCACGGACAGCGTCTAAAAAACGAGAACACGAGAACGCGAGATCGCGAGGAAAATGAAATGTCGCATTCTCGCGTTCTCACGATTTCGTGTTTTTGTGGCCTAATTTGTCAAGTCGAGATTGCGAGATTGCGAGATTTTGCATCATGTTCAAATGTCGCATTTTCGCATTGTCGACTTTTGACAAAAAGTGCCAAGTACCAAAAACACGAGAATGCGAGATCGCGAGGTTTTGGCCAATCTCGCGATCTGGCATTCTGGTGTTTTGGGCATATTTAACTCGTTTTCAAAGGTCGAGATCGCGAGAATGCGAGGTCGCGAGAATGTCCCTTACAGTATTCCATACGCATGTGTATGTAACCGTCTCCCTTATAATAACCAACTGATATGCAGCAAATGTAAATATATAAAATGTTCAACCAGTTACAATTAAAATTCAATGGCTGAGCTTTTAGAATAGTAATTGGGTCATGTCTAACAACAATCAAGATGTGTTGTATCCAAATCGTTAGCTGTGCGTTTAATGTCCTTCTATGTGTTTATGTACAAGAAAGAGAAACTTTATTATTCTATTAATGTATTTGCGTAAGATACATATAACTCTACTTTCAAAATAATATTTTACAAGTATATCAAGAGGATAACAAAGTGTTCACAGTATGACTATTGCAAGGTTTACTTTTCTTCATTGAGACATTTGAGGTAGCAATGCGGCTGCAGGTTAAACAAGTCTATCATTCTGCATTCTGAATATGACTCACCTGAATGTACACGTTTCTAACGATTGTATGGCATTTTTCTCACGGTTCAAATCTAAACCTTAACGAAAACTCTGTTATTCAAATCAGAAATGTTTCAATTTAACGAGAGATTCAATTGCTGTAATAATTACAAATTACAATTAATAGAATTACTACATAAACACAGAAATCACAGTCGGGTGCGTATTGTTCGCACCAATGGCCTAAATTCCGTTGTGCTCTTATGTCTTTTAATCAATGTTGGACACTATTCATTATGTTGCCATGTCTCGATCGTGAAACAATATTCAGCGAAATACCCCTTAATCCCAATCGTTAATTCCTGCACCACGCCAGACTGAATCTATAACATGTATGACATCCTTCCTTAGACCCGTGAAGATCTGGGGTAGAAAAGGTCTTCAGCAACTCATGCTTGCCTAAAAGGTGACTATGCTTGTCGTAAGAGGCGACTAAACGGGATCGATGCTCATGATGTCAATCATTGGATTATCTGGTCCAGACTCGTTTATTTACATATAGCTGGGATATTGCTGAGTGTGGTGTTTTAACAAACAAATCAACAAACAACCTTCCTCATTTAAAACTAAAAAGATAGTCGTAATAGGGAATTAATTTCTGAAATATTGTTAAAAATTGCAATACTTGTGTATTTTAATTATATGCACACATTAAAATGTTGACGTTACATGCGTTTCCATATATGATTCGTTTTTGCTGTTGAAACATTTGATTTTTTACATTATATACCGCTATCTCACTAAACAAATTTATGGAGGTAGTTCGTGTCGATTGGGCATTTGTTACTAAGCGTGGCCGTGGTGTCCATAGATACTGTTACATCTCTATCTTCAGAGGTACAGGGCAAGTTCTCCAGACCCGTGAAGATCCGGGGTAAAATAGGTCTTCAGCAACCCATGCTTGCCGTAAAAGGCGGCTATGCTTGTCGTAAGAGGCGACTAACGGGATTGGGTGATCAGGCTCGCTGACTTGGTTGATGCATGTCATCGATCCCAATTGCGTGGATCGATGCTCATACCAATCATTGGATTGTCTGTTCCAGACTCGATTATTTACAGACCGCCGTCATATAGCTGGACTATTGTTGAGTGCGGCGTTTAACAACAACCAACAACATACATGTATACTCCGAAACGTTGTGTTTCTCATTATAAAGAAGTTAACAATCAAACCAATTTCTCCAAAATTTCTCCGAGCAAACAATATATATGAAATGCAGGAATTCCTCACAGATACCATCTATGAGAAATCTGGCGATAGGACTTCTCGGCAAGGAGACATCCCCGGCCCTGGGCACCAGTCATGCTCCTCTTCTTGCCGACCTGTTTCTTCATGCACATGGATTGGATAGTCTGCTCGGATTGGCAAAATCAAAACAAGGCAATTTGGCCAAGAAGTTAAACTTAATAACCTTTAGGTATATCGATGATTTGACATCATGGTGAAAAAAGGCCAATTCCTTTCACTGATTTACCCACCTGGGCCCCGTTCCACAAAGCGATCGTAGCGCTAAGGTGATCTACACTCCCATTCTTCAACATAGGCTTACAACAGTCGTAGCGCTAAGGTGATCTACACTCCCATTCTTCAACATAGGCTTACAACAGTCGTAGCGCTTCGATCGCTAACTGGAACGGGGCCCTGAAATGGAAATAAAAGAGACCAGTAAAACCGCCTTGTCTGTTTCAGAATTAGATATATGTATAAAGATTCAAATGAGAAAAGCTCTCAAGAAGACTGCATTAAAAGAGGAATGGCTCACTTTCGTCAACATTCCTTTTATGTAGAGCGGTACTCCAGCAGTTCAAGTCTTTGGTGTCCACATTTCACAACTTTCAAATAGGTGTTGGGAAAAGACCGTGCGGTGTGGAGTGATGTCTGAGTGTGGAATTGTGCGAATGGGAAGATGAGGATTTAAAAGAACGCCATACAACTTTTGCTCTAAAGTTGTTTGATCAGGGTCATAGCCTTCAGTGCCTTGGTAAAGCTTTCAGTGTTGAGTTGGGTAGGGCAACACATCCTTAAATTCTGTCTGCATTGCATACATGATATACATAATACTCAGATGGCATCTAATCTATTTTCGGGGCAAAAGAAAGAAGAACAATAAGTTTATTTTGCCATTCGAGATGCTTCATACTCATAGTTAAATCAGACCCGTGAAGATCCAGGGTAGAGTACGTAGGTCTTCAACAACCCATGTTTGCCGTAAAAAGCGACTAACATGATCGGGTGGTCAGGCTCGCTGACTTGGTTGATGCATGTCATCGATCCCAATTTCTTGGATCGATGCTCATGATGTCAATCACTGGATTGTCTGGTCGAGTCGGTTATTTACAGGCCGCCGTCATATAGCTGGAACACTGCGTTGTAAAACTACAAACAAACAGTTAAATCTTCTCACATCGGCTTACCTATTCTACCTAAAACCACACAAGTTATGTGTGTCAGATTCAAAGGCTTGACTGATTCCCTTTGTTCGGCCCTTTTGTCCAGGTGATCAGACAGCAGCGAGTGTCCACGAAGTCTTAATACAATCTATCTATACCTAGAATATTAAAGTTACCTGAAACGTAAATATCAACTCAAATGCATAATGTGCACACACATTTTGTTTCAGTGAATAAACCTACATTATGAGGTATCCGTTGTAGTTTACGTTTGTAACCATACTAATGAATGAGTGAATAAATCAATGAATGAAAGTAGAAGCAGAAGGTCACAGTTCGCGTATCAGCCAATCAGATTCCATGCAAGTTTTATGAGTGAATAAATCAATGAATGAAAGTAGAACCAGAAGGTCACAGTTCGCGTATCAGCCAATCAGATTCCATGCAAGTTTTATGAGTGAATAAATCAATGAATGAAAGTAGAACCAGAAGGTCACAGTTCGCGTATCAGCCAATCAGATTCCATGCAAGTTTTATGAGTGAATAAATCAATGAATGAAAGTAGAACCAGAAGGTCACAGTTCGCGTATCAGCCAATCAGATTCCATGCAAGTTTTATGAGTGAATAAATCAATGAATGAAAGTAGTATCAGAAGGTCACAGTTCGCGTATCAGCCAATCAGATTCCATGCAAGTTTTATGAGTGAATAAATCAATGAATGAAAGTAGAATCAGAAGGTCACAGTTCGCGTATCAGCCAATCAGATTCCATGCAAGTTTTATGAGTGAATAAATCAATGAATGAAAGTAGAACCAGAAGGTCACAGTTCGCGTATCAGCCAATCAGATTCCATGCAAGTTTTATGAGTGAATAAATCAATGAATGAAAGTAGAACCAGAAGGTCACAGTTCGCGTATCAGCCAATCAGATTCCATGCAAGTTTTATGAGTGAATAAATCAATGAATGAAAGTAGTATCAGAAGGTCACAGTTCGCGTATCAGCCAATCAGATTCCATGCAAGTTTTATGAGTGAATAAATCAGTGAATGAAAGTAGTACCAGAAGGTCACAGTTCGCGTATCAGCCAATCAGATTCCATGCACGTATTATGAGTGAATAAATCAATGAATGAAAGTAGTACCAGAAGGTCACAGTTCGCGTATCAGCCAATCAGATTCCATGCACGTATTATGACACGCGTGTTTCATAACGATGTTTTATGATACCTGTTTACGTGATGCCGTGGGTGTACATGTCATCTGGATATTTCAAGTGGATGGCTATTCGTTCTAAAATATCACATGGGGTGTAATATAAGTATAGTGTGGTAGTCCCCATGTTCAAAGGAGGAAATAAATTTAAAAGGGTTCCCAGTGCATATCAAGGTATATGGATTACTCTGGTTCTAGGAAATGGAAACTAGTAAATAATTTGATTCAGTTTGGCAGGACGGACAGAGGTACAGTTTATTCTCTGCTGGTACATGCTGATTTTACAAAAACACTTTGGAACATTCTTGGAACAGATCAACATCACCTTTCATTGAAACAGAACAGCGTATTTCAAGAAAGAATTCAAATACCAGTCACGTGTTACAATATAAGCAAAAGAGTATATGTCCATATGAAGAAACAATTCTTTCACTTTCTAAAGCACAACAATGACAGCATGTTATGTATCATTTCATCAACTGTGTCAGTTTGTGGGTGAAAATCTTGAGATGGCTTTGCCATAGTCATGTCCCAGAAATCTAAATAAACAATCTTGTCTTGCAATGAAGCAAATTCCTGATGCCAAATATCCGTGTACAGAAGGCCCCAGTAAGATAACAAACCATGCATCGGTCTGAAAAATGCATGTGGGCCACGAACTGCAATTGTAACATTAGGAGCGCGTGCCAAGAGGTTCTTTGCAGAGGGAACAAGTCTCCGAACATGACGCCTAAACACATCCGGGTGGACAAGCGTGAAGTGAACGTACATATATAACACTACAATATCCTTGGAGGTGTTCGGGAGACGGTCCATCATGATGTGTTGTGCCTGGTTTGTTGACCTGTTATAGTGTATAGCGCCATGATAGAACGGTAGTTCGTGAGCATACCAGGAAATTGAAAAATTATGTATTAAATCTGTGTCAGTAACAGGTACATGACGATCTGTATGGGAAGGAAAGCGTAAAATTGAATGAAGAGCTCCTTTAAACTGATTACTTGTCGAATCCCCATGAAGCCAGAGCGTTCTTCCTTTCAAGCATTGTCTGTAGGCATCAATGGTGCGAGGCAGTGTGTCGTCACACAGTAGCGAATGCCACTTGTTCCGGTAAAAGAAACCATTCGGGGACTTCCGTTGCCATGTCATTTCCGCCGGAAGCGTATTGCAGGAAGTTGAAGGAGCCGACAGTTTTACATCGTTAGAACCTGTGAAAAGAAATGGGTTTATCAAGAAGAATTCAATATGTTGAATACGTTACCTTTCCGTTCTCCTAAGCGAAGGTATATGTTGGTAATCAAAGGGATCTATGTATCTCTGAGTGTTGTATGTTGTTTAACGCCGCACCCAGCAATATTCCAGCTATATGACGACGGTCTGTAAATATTCGAATCTGGACCAGACAATCCAATGATTGACATCATGAGCATCGACCCACGCAACTGGGATACGATGACACACGTCATCCTAGTCAGCGAGCCTGACCACCCGATCTCGTTAGTCGCCTCGGATGGGTTGTTGACCCTCTGTAACCGGGATCTTCACGGGAATGCGTCCCTAAGTGAAACTATCATTGCAAGTTAATGTTTATATTAAAAACATATCACTACTTGTGTTACACCTATTCTGCATACAGGGCGTCAGTGCTGCATATGTTGTTTATCAAATTAACAAAAGTGTCAATAAATATAAAAACTGAATAGTTTCTTTGAATCACAACAAGTGATTTACAACGATCCCTTCATATAGCTTTCATCACTGTTTTGCCCTATATGTACTTATCCGTGAATAGCGGGGGTAGAATAGGTCTTCAGCAACCCATGCTTGTCGTAAAAGGCGACTATGCTTGTCGTAAGAGAATCGGGTGGTCAGGATCGCTGACTTGGTTGATGCATGTAATCGTATCCCAATTGCGTAGATCGATGCTCATGATGTCAATCATTGGATTGTTTGGTCCAGACTCGATTATTTCCAGACCGCCGTCATGTAGCTGGAATATTGCTGAGTGTGGCGTTAAACAACAAACAAACAAACAAACAAACAAACCCTACATGTACACCTACAGGAATCGGCTTGGGCAGATAATGGAGATAATTAGTGTCTGTCGTTGACGTTTTAATTTTGATATCAAGAAAAGTGACGTTGGTGGGAAGGTCGCTTAAATCAGTTTTTAAATTATATATGGGGGCACTAAGAATCGTAATCGTGTAAAGTTGATCACCAAACCCAACATCAGGGATTCCTGGCATGGCAATGGGGAATAACCTCTACACCATGAGTCATGCAGCCGTAGTTCATTGAGCTTTCAGTGCCCCAGAATAAACTGAGCTCTTCTATGATGTATACGGGTATATGGTTTTTAGGACCATCTTTGTTTCAATTAAAAAACATATTCATATGGAGTGTATGAAATTCAACACACAGACAATGCCCCATGCGGATAAAACTCTACAAAGACAACACCCCCACACAGACAATTCCCCACACGGACATTTCCCCACATAGACAATCTCATACCTGAACATTTCCACACACAAACAATTCCCCACCTGAACATTTCCACACACACACAATTCCCAACCTGAACATTTCAACACACAAACAATTTCCCACATGGACATCTACTCACACACACACACACACACACACACACACACACACACACACACACACACACACACACACACACACACACACATTCCCACACATGGACATCTACCCACACAGACCCCCCCCCCCCCCCACACACACACACACACACACACACATTCCCCCATATGGACATCTACCCACACAGACACCCCCCCCCCCCCCCCCCCACACACACACACACACACACACATTCCCCCATATGGACATCTACACACACAGACAATTTCCCACATGGACATTTCCCCACACAGACCATTCCCCGCCAGGACATTTCCCCAAACAAACAATTCCTCACATGGACAACTCCACACACAGACAAACCCTCCACCCCCACAGCCAACTCCAGCCAAAAGCTCAAACAACTTGGCCTCAGGGGTAGCGGGGTATTCGTGTGGTTAAAGCGTTGACTTGTCATCCTGTCAACACTATCAATGGATGATTTGTCCAGTGATTGACACAATTGTATGCCTCCTGTCAACACAATGAAAGGATGTTTTGTCCAGTGATTGACACAATTGTATGCCTCCTGTCAACACAATGAATGAATGATTTGTCCAGTGATTGACACAATTTTATGCCTCCTGTCAACACAATGAATGGATGATTTGTCTAGTGATTGACACAATTGTATGCCTCCTGTCAACACAATGAATGAATGATTTGTCCAGTGATTGACACAGTTGTGTCCCATTTCTAAACACTATCAATGGATGATTTGTCAAGTGAGGGATGTAGAAACGTCACAGATACATACCTCCTCTAACAGACACCTTCACTGAACTCTGTAAAATATCTTGTTTTGAATCTGTCACAGACCTGTGATATGAAAAACATATTTATTAGTTCGAACCCACACTGCCAGAGTGAGACAACTAATCTAGACTACCAGTTATCGGACTTTCATTTTTATGGAAGCCTCGGTAGCTGAGTGGGATAGGTCGCTGACTTTGTGTGCTGGCGATTGGGTGCCTCACTCTGGCAGTGTCGGTACGAATCCCCGGACGGGACTCAACCCAAAAAGGTACGAGAATCTGTACTTTACTCAGAGAGCGTTATCCCAAATATAACATTTGCTACATTTGACCACTTCCTAAATGGCTTTGTGTGTTCATATTCATTAGTTAGATTAAAGTTACTCTGAGCAAAGGACTGTCACAAACAGAACACTGGATACTTTTTTCATCTGCAACTGCAAAAGAAGACATTTTCTTAATTAAAACCATGCGCCTAAATATCTACCCCACACAACACAACCCCATTCACACCCACCACCCCGCACATCTCTTCTCTTCGGTGTCATCACCGGGTGTCATCATACATGTCAGGGATACATTCATATATTTTTCATCATTATTTTGGAATCTGTTTCGTCTGATGATCGAGAATGATTATTGTCTTGTTTTGGGGTTGGCGTTGGCGTTGGCGTCGTCATATTAAGCTGACAATCCGTGAAATTCATTAACATTCCATTCAAAGCGGCTTCAAACACAACTAACACACCAAGTTATGTAAAGAGATGAAGTTCAACAACGGAAAGGATAAAATATACATACAAACCAATGATGCTTCTCTCGGTGTTATTTAAAGGAAAGCCTATTCCATTTACACTAAATGAATGCGACCATGTGTCACATGTCAACTGGTTGATTTTGGACTTCTTACAGTACCAACTGTCGCCATTGTTCTCCTTCGTGAAATTACACCACTCGTTTGCCTTGAAGGAATCCTCTTGTCTAACTGAACATGCTGTTGCATCTGTTAGATTGTTTGCCCGGAATTCAGCCAACGCTGTCCAGAGACTGCCATGCTGGTGGTATATCATATAGTTGAGAACTACCTCCTCCTTCCTCGTGGCAATGAATGCCTTTAGTTAATTGTAGCGCCTCCTGACCATACGGCTCTCAGTAGAGCAGTGTAGCTTCCATTATTGAAGTCCTTCACCCGACCGGAAACGGAAGCTGCTGCCTCTGGGCTCTCCATCCAAACTCTCAAAAAATCACCTCCAGTTAACTTGCGGTTACCATTCAAATCATACAGATCTATTTGCACTTGAATGTCTTCTCCTAGATTGTAGACCTTTTGGACATGGTTGAGATACACACGAGATTCCTTAGCAACTGCACATAATGAAGGATCAAGGACTGTTCCATAATGCATAGCCTCTTCTGTGAGATATGTCATGCCTCTTGCCGGAAAGGGATAAAACAGGAACCTGAAACCAAACCAAATCGATATTATTACAATACTCTGCCTGTACATCCAGAGAATCGTCCTACCAATAGATATAGAAACAGAGAGAGAGCAGCCATTTAATCATATTATTTTGTTTTCTTGTCCACGTGGTTAGCGTGAATTGTCAAATGCAGGACATTGTGGTGTGAGAACAAATTTGTGTTCATGAGATTCTTCTTGTGTATTTTATTCAGCAATTTGTTATCGGAAGTTTATTGTGGGTTTGAAACAGAATCACTGCCGCGCACATGTCTGGTCACAATCCTGGGACCGTAGGCTCTGGTATATTCCAGTGATAGTTAAAAGGCTTACAAAAGACCATTCATCCAAAAAAATTCAACAAACAGAAACTATCTTAATATGAATTATTTCAAGGAAGCGCAGTCACTAATTGTTATCTTGTGATATTGACCTTTTACCTCCAAATCCCATATGTCAGAAGAATAACCAGGGGCAATGTGGGACTTCCAGTGGTGCCAATGACATTTGTGTACGAGTAGACAAGACATGACTCTGCTAAACTAACTGGAACACGTGCAGGTATGGTGTGTCCCAGGCTAGGATAGTTATTAGGGCGGTTCTGGGATTTGCTCAAGGAATGCAACCCTGCTAGGCAAATTTGAATGTGTCATGGCATTTGAACATGATCAAAGAATATCATGACAGGTCTGAAAGATTACTGCTCCTGTTTGTTCCGGTTGAGTCTGTATCAGATGAGTAAAGTTCTCAATTTACAAGAGAGTATTTGAAGTTTGATCGCACCTTACAACGGGCATGGGTTCCTAAAGGCCAATTCCAACCCGGATCTTCTTGTGGAAGAAGGTATTTAAAGCAATTGCAATGAATACGATGTGGATTCTCAAATACTCAAAGGACTTGCTTGAATGTTTGCAATTTCAGAAAGGGACCAAGTTAAATTATATCAAACATTTGACTTGAACACTCAATGCCATTTAGAAGGGGTGGTCAAATGGAACAAATTTTATATTTGGGGAAACACTTTCTTTGTAAAGTACAGATTGTCGCGATCGTACTTTATTGGTAAATAAAACATTTGTTACATTTGACTACTTTCTAAATGGCATTGTGTGTTCATAGCTTTCGGGCCATGGGAGCCGTGCCAATTTTCATTTGTCAGAGGAGTACACAAAGTACGTGACCTAGACTACCAGTTGTCGGACTTTCATTTTTGTTCAAGCCTCGGTGGCTGAGTTGGTTAGATCGCTGACTTTTTGTGCTGGCGATCAGGTGCCTCACTCTGTCTCTCCCTGTCGATTCTGTAAACAAGTTTGCTTGTTAGTTTGTTGTTTAACGCCACACTCAGCAATATTCCAGCTATATGACGGCACTTTGTAAATAATCGAGTCTGGACCAGACAATCCAGTGATTCATATCATCAGCATCGACCCACGCAATTGGTATACGATAGCATGCATCAACACGTCAGCGAGCCTGACCACACTATCCCGTTAGTCGCCTCTTACGACAAGCATAGTCACCTTTTACGGCTAGCACCGGTAGCTAAAGACCCCGGATCTTAACGGGTGCGTAAAGAAATCAACAGATGCCGTACAGTATTTATTTGAGACGGGATGACGGGATTAATCGGAAGACATAATTATAGACACAATATTTTATATTAACTGAAAAGCCAGTCAGTACTGTATTCTTTTCATGTGTTATTTATATGAGTAATCAGTGACGTTTGTGAGTAGCTGTACCGTTGTACGACACGAGGGTCAGTGCCCAGTGAGTCAACCATTATTTCACGACCTTCAAGAGCACGAGAGACAATGTTACTGTCGTAGCTCTTTGTGTGTGTATTCGCGGGACAAACCAGATTCTCTGGAGATTTTCCAATCAGAATGCAATCTCCTAAAATGTCTTGGTGGACTTTTAAATAACGACGTGATATTAACGTCCGCAAGTTGTCAATGACGAATCATGTGGCCTTCAAATGTGCATGAAACACTCCTAGAATATAGTTGCATATAGTGTACGATTTTGAATTTCATTAATCAATTTAAAACACAAGTTTACGAATCAATCGCTACTCTCTGATGACTGGGACAAGACCGAGGGCTATCAGGTACACTTTTCAAAAAAAGAAACGAACAGGCAGATTTTTAGTAAATGTATTACACCTTATAAAGCCGATATATTCAATTTAATATCATCGATACTAATATGAAATTTTGGAGCTCGATAGTAACATGTTTTCGTTGTACAAAGGCATTGGAAACTGTTCATTGTCGTGTCACATAAGGCCACAGTGTTGCGCTGAAATCAGTATCTTGTGTGACCGCCTCGGGCAGCAATCACGGCTCTGCATCTCCTCGGCACTAACTGGATAAGTGTACGAATTCTGCGCCATTCTGCTTGTAACGCGTTGGCCAGTTGTGGGGTGTCAGCGGCGTGCTCTGACGTTGACATACACGTCGATCGGGTTCATCCCAGAGGTGTTCGATTGGATTGAGATCGGGAGATCTCGGCGGCAGGGCAAGTCGTTGATGTTGGCTTTATGAAGGTAGTCTACCGTGACACGAGCTGTGTGCGGTGGAGCGTTGTCGCGTTGTCCTGTTGAAACAGGTCTCTCTGGCGGTCAATGATTGGGAGAAGGTTAGGTTGAAGAATTTGATTCATATCGCGATTTGCTGTCAAATTTCCCTGAACCACAACGAAGTCAGATATCGTGGTGTAGGATATGGCCCCCACACCATGACCGAAATTGTCGAATTCAAATACACAATGTGGGGCAAAACGCTCATTTCGACGACGATAAACACGTTGCCTTCCATCTCGCCGGTGAAGAAGAAATCGTGATTCATCGCAAAACCACACTCGTCTCCAGTTTCTCAAATTCCAAGGCGGTAGGGTATGGCACCAACGCGAGCGTCGCTGTCGATGGATCTGTTGCAAAACAGGGACGATAACTGGTCTTCTGGGTCGGATTCTAGCCTCGCGAAGATGGTTCCTGACAGTCTGGTCCGGTATCCACCTCAAACCAGGGATGCGTCCTGCAGTCTCCGTAGCTGTGGCATTGCGATGACGTAGGTGGAACAGTCGAATGTAGCGATCCTGTGCGGGGGTGGTAACTCTTGGTCGGCCGTTTCTCGGATTGTTTGCAGTGGAATTGAACTGTTTGTATCAGTCACAAAGGCCGCAAATCGAGCTGTGCTGGACCCGGGTTCGATTCCTCACATGGGTACCCATTTCTGGTGTCCCCCGCCGTGATATTGCTGGAATATTGCCAAAAGCGGTGTAAACCATACTCACTCATTCGGGTTCAGTGGGTTGGAACCTCACTGCATACAAAGAGATGTACAAGTCTGCATCGTCTTTCGTTGTTTACTAGAATGGAATCCCATGGAGCATAAAGCAACAAATATTACTTGATTGATTTAAGTTACGTTTGGTTATTCTGTTGTTGTTGTTGTTGGTGGTGGTTTGTTGTATAACGCCGCACTCAGCAATATTCCAGCTATATGACGGCGGTCTGTAAATAATCGAGTCTGGACCAGACAATCCAGTGATTAATACCATGATCATCGATCCACGCAATTGAGATTGATGACATGCATCAACCAAGTCAGCGAGCCTGACCACCCGATCCCGTTAGCCGCCTTTTACGACAAGCATAGTCACCTTGTACGGCAAGCATGGGTTCCTGAAGACCTATTCTACCCCGGAATCTTCAAGGGTCTTTGGTTATTCTGCATGTGAGTGAGTGAATCATTGAGGCAGTGAGTCATTGAGGTTTTACACCGCCTTTAGCTAGCAATGGACCAGCAATATGCGGCGTAAGACACAAGAAATGACCATAAAGTACTCACAGGCTGTCCTGATAAAACAAGTATATTGCTGACCACACTTTTCAACAGCATTCTCTCACTTTTCCAAACGAGACCTGACAGCTTTTTTGTGTATCCGAGCTGACCCAGATCGAATATGCCAATATGCACAAAGGAAGTAGTCACTTCGTCGTGTCCCAACAAACGAAGAGACACACGTTCTTTACAATTGGTAGTCATGGGATTACCGTCGGGGTATTCGCTTCTTTGCAATAGGAGGGTATGCATAGTCCAACATATGCGTAGTCTAACTGAAGCCTTGTGGATGTTTTGTGGGTTTAAGAAAGAACACGTGTTTAGGCATACATAGGTTGTCTCTGCATGTCTGGCATCTGCATTGTTGAATTTGCCAATAACTTAATTTATATAAATATGACGGCAGGAGCTGAAGTATGTTTATAGCCAACAACGTAATGTGGTTTACTGTCGGTTTGGTCACGGAGTCCATATGGTTTTTGTTCGTTATGTCTACTGGGAGATTCTACGTACAGATTTGAAAATATGGTCTACCAACTGGTTTAAAATCTCTAGTTTCTGAGGAGATTTTCACAAATTGGATTTGTTTCAATAAATATAAAAGAATGATACTAGGCTTGTTTATAATGCTTAGACTGATCCTTTGAGTCAGTTCGATGAAGAAGTCAATAGATAACGGTCAGACAGACAGAAGAAATATGCTCACTTGGACTGTCAGTCCTGTGAGATAAAAGATATGCTAGTAGGATTATGATCGGAATGCAGAGACAAATGCAGTGATACTTACTGCGACAGTCTGGATGTATTCCAGTTCAAATGGAGATATAGTATTACAGTAAATCCAGTCATAACGAAACAGACAGTAGCACATATTTGGTGTTTCTTCATATCTGATTGTAACAATACACTTGTATAGTCGCAACTCCGTTACGGTGTTTGATTCAACAAGTTGAGCGATCAGAGCGTTATTGCAATGGCGTGTTTGAGCGAAAGTTCGTAGCGTTCTACCTGTTCTCTACGTTTGTTCTCGCAACAGGTTCCGACCGTGGCCATTGCAAATGTCTACATTTTCAAGCAGGTGTGGTCTATTGTCCCCAGACAGTGCACTTATACGGACATAATTGTCAACTGGTTTCGATAATTCTACAAACTGACGTCTGAGAAGATGCGAAATCGTTCCAAATCTTTTTTGTGTGTTATGAATGTCTCTTTCGGATACGTCAGTTAATTATCCAGGAATACAGCCCTTCTGACAATCTGGGTATTGCAAAAGGCTGCACTGTTGGGGAGTTGTCACATTCTCCGAACAGGTATGTGTAAGTTTGACTGGGCAGCGTTTCCTGGGAGAAGTCTCATTCACTGTCTGGGCTGCGTGTAGAGGGGGCAAGGGCCCTGAGCTGATGATGAGCCTAACCAGCCTGACTGTGCCAGGATCACCCAAACCCTCTTTGCTGCATTTTTTATTTTAATCAGTAAATAATAATAAAAATAACAACAACAATAACACCTGTCTGAGCAGATTATTCGTGACCTTCTCCAGCGACTGAACTCATATGTGCGCCGTGAACCTCGTGAGATGAATGCCAGCACTCGTCATGCACCTTTGCGCGAACCCTCAGTTCCAACAGTCATAGACCCGAAATTGCAAATAAATGTTCACATGTCCTCACAAATTGAAATCTCTGATGTCGGCCTCGAAGATTTTTATCCCATGACCACCAACTGTAAACAACGTCTGTCTCTGCGTTTGTCCGGACGCGACAAGGTGACTTTTCCTCCTTAGTGCATATTAATTCGACCTGGGTTTTATTATCACGTGTGAAACCGGTTTAAAATCATGCTGATATCTGGGTGTCTGAATATTGTCACAAATTCTTAATACGTGAGTGCTTAGTGTTGAAACTCTTTCGGGAATAAGAATTAAAAAATAATTCGGAGGTAAGTTATTAATCATTTTGTCTATAGCAATGATTTAAGTATTAAGCAGATAAGTATGTTTCTAACAGAGCATGTGGGTTGGTCCGTGTTAAATGTATAAACAAGCTAACTGTTGCTGTATAGCGTCTCGAGGCAATTATTTGAGACGGGAAGTCAATAGGTTAAACGGAAGACGGAATTTGACCCAATACGTTATATGAACTGACACGCCATGTGATACTCTATTCATTTCATACATTATTGATTGAAGAAACACAATAATATGTGTGAGTGTGTTAGTTGGGTATTCCTGTCAGCTTAATATTGGAGGAAAGCCCGAAGGGATGCAGATTTCAGACGTTTACCTCTTCGGTGAAACCCACAAGCACGGGTATGGAAAACCTAGAAGCATAATCGGGGCTAACCGGGATTCGAACCCACAATCATAGGTTTCTGGCGTGCCCAAGGGACGCAACTCTGCACAGCGAATCGCGGCGCCTTAGACGACTGGACCACCCGTGTCCGTGCCGCCTCCCGGATATAACATGAACAGTACGGGTAAAGAAAAGAGAGATTTCTTATGATGAAATTGCTTAATGATGAGAATGTGCTATCTAATTTGTCATGCCGTGGATATTTATGTGCTTACTTGGAAACAATAAGTCGAATCGATGTGCTTGATGAATTATGAGAATCCATTTAATAAAAGGGTAACAGACAGGGTACTAGCTGTGCTCTCAATTGCGAACGTTGTTCTTATAAACTGTATGGGTTATGGGATGTAGGGGTTTGGGGAGGATTCCGTTTGATTCAACATCTGTTTGAAAGCGAACGATCAAAACGTATTGTTGTCAATGGTAATGGCACGTTTGAGCTAATGTTCGTTGTGTTCTATCTGTTCTCCACCTGTGTTCTCGTAACAAGTTCACGACTTTAAAGCAGATTTTGGCCATTCTGCCCAAGCAGTGCACTTATATAGGCATAATTGTTATTTGGCGTTCAGATATTTTACAAATCGATGTCTGAAAAATCATGAAATCACATCAAATATGACTTTGGATACGTCGGTTATCCAGGTAAGGCAGCCAAAACATTATCTTCTGGAATAAATCGCAAATTGAAAGCAAAACCTGTTTGTTTGAAAAACGTACATAATTAACCTTGCTAAGATCGAGTTGTTTGATTGCACAGGCTATATATAACAGTGAGAGACATGTAAGAGATGCTATGACACTGCTGAAACGTTGAGTCTCACTATGGTCTGCGTTGATGGAGTTGTTTGCTTATAATATTTCAGCATACTCCATTCCGAGGTCCAAGCACTTCTGCCAAACTAGTTAATATAGCTAAGTTACTACCGTCCAAAATAGTTACCTTGATATATGTTTTATTTCTTGTGGAACGTTCTTGCAGATGAACTTTTTGTTCTCACATTTTTTATGCTTCTTTTTTCTCTGGTAATCTGTATAGTGCACTCAGTTGAACGAAATACATTTGTTTTCAAATAAGATGTCACTTCGGAACATTATTGTTTCACGCTGAGATGTGAATGAAGCAAACGAAGTGTCGTAGAATCTCATTATAACGTGACTTTTATCACGTGACCATCAAAATGGCGGCGCCCACAACAATAATATTTTCATCCTTCGTCATCGGTTTGATAACACCGCTACAAGCCATTTATCCATTCAGAAACACGTCCTTGTCGATAGATGAGCGTGTTGCAGATCTCATTAACCGACTGTCACTGGATGAGATTGCCGAGCAAATGGCGGGCGCGGGGGGAGGAGGCATGCACGGTGGCGAACCTTCCCCAGCAATACCTCGCTTGGGTATTGGGAAGTTCGTGTGGTCAGTTGAATGCCTGAGGGGCGACGGCATGGCAGGAAATGCAACATCTTTCCCGCAAGCCTTAGGTCTCGCAGCTTCATTTAAGTGAGATTATTGATTTTTACATTCTGATAAAGTGTTACATCTTTCAAATAAATATTAGTGAGTGAGTTGGATTTAACGCTGCTTTTAACAGTATTCCAGTCATATCACAGCGTGTCAGCTTAATGTGGGAGGAAAGCCCGAAGTGATGCAGGTCTCAGATGTTTACCACTTCGGTGGAACCCACGAGCATGGTTATGGTGTTGACAAACCTAGAAACATAATTGGGGCGAACCGGGATTTGAACCCACAATCATAGGTTTCTGGCGTGCCCAAGGGACGCAACTCTGCACAGCGAATCGCGGCGCCTTAGACGACTGGGCCACCCGTGTCCCCCAAGTAAATATTACATAAATACTATATAGGCCTTTGGAGCTAAGCATGAAGATCGAGTGCACATTGAGCAGTTGTCCGGGGTAATAATGAACCACTTTGAGCATGACGATTTGGCACATTATAAATAATCACCTTATCATGATCACATATAATAGCGTCCACCAACATGGGAAGCCAACATGCAATGATGTATAAATACTTGTAAAAATGGCATTAAACACAAATCGCTCACAAGCCCGCTGGCCAAAGTCCCTGTTTAATTATATGAAATAACATTTAATTATTCTGTATTGGCAGCCGGGAGATAATCTATAAAGTAGCCACTGCCACAGCCGCTGAAGTAAGGGCTAAAAACAATGACTTTGTGAAGCGAGGAATATTTCACGACCACACTGGCCTAGGCTGCTTCAGTCCTGTTATCAACATCATGAGACACCCCTTGTGGGGCAGGAACCAGGTGTGGTAATGCAGGGATTTACATTGATCATGTTCATAGATTGTTTTATCATTTTTAAGGCATTGGTGGTAAAAACATTTATTTATGCAGTTATAGAAAATGTGAACCCAATTTGTATTTTGGTTTAGGTTAGGTCCAAGTTATCCTATGCTTGTAAGTATGCTTGTTGTAAGTGACAGCAAAAACAATGTTTGCTATACCGGTAAGACATGCACCATTGCAACCTGTTACTGAAAAATGCAACCTAATATTAATGTCCACATGTTTTCACTAAGCCTTAATTGTCCACACAACATTGACACTACCTGACAAATCCTGTGTTATGTGTAATTTGTTATATATCTGTCACAGTTTGGCATTGTATCTTGACTGTGTGTCATTGTATCTTGACAATGTGTCGTTGTATCTTGACAGTGTGCCATTGTATCTTGACAGTGTGCCATTGTATCTTGACAGTGTGTCATTGTATCTAAACAGTTTGCCATTTTATCTTGACAGTTTGTCATTGTACCTTGACAGTATGTCATTGTATCTTGACAGTGTGTCATTGTATCTTGACAGTGTATCTTGACAGTGTGTCATTATATCTTGACAGTGTTTCATTGTATCTTGACAGTGTGTCATTGTATCTTGACAGTGTCATTGTATCTTGACAGTGTGTCATTGTATCTTGACAGTATGACATTGTATCTTGACAGTGTGTCATTGTATCTTGACAGTGTGTCATTGTATCTTGACAGTATGACATTGTATCTTGACAGTGTGTCATTGTATCTTGACAGTGTGTCGTATTTTGACAGTATGACATTGTATCTTGACAGTGTGTCATTGTATCTTGACAGTGTGTCATTGTATCTTGCCTGTGTTTTATTATATTTTAACAGTGTGTCCTTGTTTCTTGACAGTGTGTTGTAACTTGACAACACATGAGGTGTCTCCTTCGGCAAGTTACTTTGTTATATATGCCTCTGTTCACTTTGCAGCAAAATTGGTACTGTGATGGTAATGTGAAGGCAGCTTGGGTTTTATACTCCCCAGGGAGCTGAGAATGAAAAAATCTATTGCAATTTGTGATTGGTTACTGACATTTGCTGCAGAATTGGGGCCGAATATCGCCCTTGGAGCAGGTCTAGGTACATCCCTGTACACATGTTCCATCATACTAAAATATACGACATTATACATATGTATTCAGTTACAGTGTACAACCCAGGCATCAACCCCGATGTATCGAGACCTGATCAGAGGCCAATGTACGGCCTCAAGTCTGCAGCAAATATCCAAATTGGAATTAAGAGTTTGTCAGTTTGTGTTATTAAAGCCACAAGTAATGTTATGACTGTAGAGGTGTCTTGTGTTTCACTGATGGCAGGAATCATAAAGAGGAACAGGATTTAGTTTACATTGGTGCATTGAATGCAAAAATACCTTTGAACTTAAGAAAACGAGAACTGTAACAAAATTCACTTTTGAATATTAAAAAAAAAATAATCCCAAATTGCCTGCCAAGGGCACTGAGTTTGGGATCCTAGATAAATCCTGGAGTACATCATTTTTAATTTATTTATGAATGTGACTTTTCAGGAAACCTATGGTGAGGACCCATATCTGACTGGTGACTTGGCAGCATGGTTTGTCCGCGGCCTGCAAGGATCGCACCCTCGGTACCTGGCTACAGCTGCCACCTGCAAACACTTCGCTGCCTATGATGGGCCTGAAGACCTCCCTGTAGGGAGAGAGAGTTTTAATGCCAAGGTATTCAGTAATATAACTTGTATGTCCAGAGCTCCAGATTGGCTGCATATTTGCGTAAAATATGCAAAATATGTCGCCATTACTTACTTAATTTTGACCTGTTTGCATACAAATTTATGAAAAATCCCAATATTAAAACATCCCATTTAGTCATTACCAATGTATCCGACCGCCTCCAAAGTCTTGTGGTGGCTAAAGTGCGTCTGCCTGGAGAGGCCAAAATGAGTTTGCATTTGTTTACACTGCATAAAAAATGATAATTCAACCAATGCCTTGAAATTACTAATTAATACAATAACTAAATAAGACTACATTCTCGAATCCTGGTATCCTGCCCAAAAGGACCGCCTCCGTGGTCTAGTGGTAGAGCGTCCGCCCAGAGAGATGAAGGTCTGGGGTTCGATCCCCGGCAGCGTCATACCAAAAGACGTTAAAAGATGGTTCTTATTGTTACCCTGCCTGGCGCTCAGCATTAAGGGGCTTAAACAAGGACTGGTTGGCTTGGAGTCGGTATGCTGTCTCTGAGTGGGGTTTTCCTGTTAAACTGCGGCATGGTATCTCAGTGAGCAAGCACTATAAATCGGCATCAGTCCGGACTAGTACAAGCAGCCACACCACATACACGTGCATGCACGTTGCTATATAAGTGCAATAATCTTGGACGCGAAGTTAAACCCAATTTCACCTCACCTCACCATGTATCCTTTTCAACTTGCATACCTGTATTTCTTTACTTACTGATTGAATGCAGGTATCACATGTAAATGTACTTTTGTGTACTGATTTATTAATGTATAAACACGTCGGTACGTCTCACGTATTGTTGATTAGACATGTATATCAGTGTTGTGACTTTTTGCAACATGTTACACACAGTGTCTGAAATAACTCCCTGTCCCCCTGCCCGTGGCTGGTGACTTTTCTGTCGGGCTGCATGAACTTCTCCTCCACCTGCCCGAGTGTCTGGCAGATAATTTTAAGACTGTTTATGTTTTCAATCTTATTATGACTCCTTGTAGATTATCATGTAATTGTTTGCATTATTTCAACTGAATCAAGATGTGGTTTGTCTTAGTGTTTGCGATGTTTCAATATTTATAATGCATGAATGCGGGCAGGTCTTCGCCCTCAAGGGGCGGTCGGGTAGCCTAGTGGTTAAAGCGTTCGCTCGTCACGCCGAAGACCCGGGTTCGATTCCCGACATGGGTACAATGTGTGAAGCCCATTTCTGGTGTCCCCCGCCGCGATATTGCTGGAATATTGTTAAAAGCGGGGTAAAACCACACTCACTCACTCACTCACTCTTCGCCCTCAATACTGGTACACAATGTGTGTAACATCTTGCATGAACTCACAACACCAATACACATGTCTGATTAACAATGTGTAGTGGTAGCGACCTGTAAGATCTGATTTTGATGAGATTGTGACACAGGTTATCCTCTACTTATCAGTCATAGGTTTTACTCCTTTTACCTTTCACATCCTAACACTAAATTACTTGAATCCTAATAAATCTACATGATATATGCATATATAAAGAAGCATATCTCGTTACTTATGACCAGGTTTCTGAGTTTGACTTGCGGACAACGTTCCTACCGCAGTTCAAGTCTTGTCTGAAGGCGGGGGCGTCCGGTGTGATGTGCAGCTATAACAGGTAGGCCTGCTATCCTTCATATCATGCACTAGACAGCATGTATGCAACACTTTGATCAACAGATTTGAATAACTAGAGACAAAAGCCATCAGAAAATAAAATCATTTTTAATGATAAGTAATAAAATTCATTTGGTCTCTTGTCACTGCTAACCCCTATAAGTGAGTGAGTGAGTATGGTTTTACCCCGCTTTTAGCAATATTCCAGCAATATCACAGCGGGGTACACCAGAAATGGGCTTAACTCATTGTACCCATGTCAGGGAATTGAACCCGGGTCTTCGGCATGATGGCAAAAGCTTTAACAACTAGGCTACCCGACCGCCTTCCCCCCCCCCCCCCCAACACACACACACACACCTATAAAGTGAACTAGCCTTCTCTGGCTGAAGGAGACCCCCATGAAGATCTGATAAGAATTGGTCTTCAGCACCATGTTTGTCGTGAGAGGCCACTAACCGGATCGAGTGGTCAGGCTCACTAACTTGGTTGACGCATGTCATAATATCTCATTTGTGTAGATTGATGCTCATGTTGTCAATCATTGGATTATCTGGTCACAGACTTGATTATTTACAGACCCTCATCGTATGGCTAGAATATTGCTGAGTGCGGCATTAAACAACAAACAAACAAACAAAAGTCTGGATGAAGGAGATACAAGTACACGGACCTGTAAACATGTCATTTCAACATCATCCTGCCAACAGAGTATACATATATTTCTTCCAGCAAGATTGACTACAAAACAGAAATGATATTGATCTAAACAACATTATTCTTTTTTCTTTTCCTCCCGATCGTTAACGAAATATCTGTAATTCATTAAATATAATCATCTCCAAGTATGGTAAGATATTGTTTGCGTGGCTTGAAATATGAAGTGTGAAATTAAACGCTGTTCAAGTGTCAACACTTAGACAACAGAAACTCAAGGAAACCTGAGAATCCATTAATCAACATTTTGTTCCCTATCCTATGTGTTTACTGCAAACTGTGATACTCCTCAAAAAGGCTCTCCAGTGCCAAGTTGCTGCAATGTAATGTGATTTCCTTTTTGGATGGATAAGACCTGTATGTGAACACACAAAGCCATTTAGAAAGTGGTCAAATGTAACAAATGTTATATTTGGGATAACTTATATCAGCGAGCTTCTTGAAGAGTACGTGCCTGGGAGATCTCTCAGATCAAGCTGCCAGTCCCTACTCTCTGTGCCTAGTGTTAGAACGGCGACTTTTGGAGGTCGGAGTTTCACCAAAGTTGCCCCTGAGCTATGGAATAGGCTGCCATTGGATATTAGGAACATTGACAGTCCTACTTTATTCCGATCAAGACTCAAAACCTATCTTTTCACCAAATCTTTCTTAGAGTATTGAGGATTTGTGTTTTCCTAGCTGTGTAATGTCTCTTTTTTTGTGTAGACTCAAATGAAGAGCTTTTGAGCAGTTCTTCGAACTGGATACCAGCGCTTTATAAATCTGTAGTTATTATTATTATTATAATAACACTTTCTTAGTAAAGTACAGATTCTCGTACTTTTTTGGGGTTGCGTCCCGTCCGGGATTCAAACCCACACTGCCAGAGTGAGGCACCCAATCCCCATCACAAAAAAGTCAGCGATCTAACCCACTCAGCCACCGAGGCTTCCACAAAAATGAAAGTCCGACAACTGGTAGTCAAGATCACATACTTTGTGTACCCCGCTGACAAGTGTAAATTGGCACAGCTCACATGGCCGAAAGCTATGAACAAACAATACCATTTAGTATCTGTACTTTGCTAAGAAATATAACATTTGTTACACAAGACCAATATGGATTCTATTTTATTGTTAATGAAAAGTTTATCAGTTAGCCTATCATATGACATGTAGTTTATGAGGTTGTGATCCAATACGCTGAGACATGAAAACTCCACTCCACATTAAGTAGCTTTATTCAACCATCAAACAAGAAACCCTACTTGACATTTGCAGTAAACTTGAGATGTGTAACTTAACAATGCCTAGAGGACTGTTGTGAAGATGGTGGTCTCAGGTCCAGGGCCAATCTCCTTTAGGCTAAACAAAATAATAGTCTTGGTTCTCAGTCACCACCCGCATCATCATTAAGTCCTCCATGCATTTCATTTTTTATTTCCATTTTAAAAAAATAAAAAATTCTTAAAAATACATAAAAGATATACAATCCAAGATAGCACACAGTTACTTCCCTTTACATGTGCACTGCTCTACTGCACATCTTGTGTTATGGTCATGGCAGCAATAGGAGTTTGTATGCTTGTTTATGTAGGGAGGCCCTTTCCCAGGTTGATGGAACACAACTGTTATGAACAAGCAACAACAAAAAAAACACCACCTGCTCGCGCTATATTTTCAAAAGTCATTGCCTATGAACCAATTCTGTTTTTTAAGCCTTATTGAGGGGAGTATGTCTCTACTCTCTTAAACACCACGGAGCAATAGGTTTGTTTCAAGTCCTGTTCAAATCACTTGATACTGAAATAAAACTGGATTGGAGGGTCACTGTGTGCAAGTGTAAGCAAGGATTATATCCAGCCTAAATATTATCCTGGGGGAAGTTTTACACTAGAGTATAGTATAGGGTAGAATTAAACACACTGGTATGGGTTCAAATTCACTTGGGAGAATCATCCTGACACTAGAGAATTTCATCCCTTGGATAAAAAATAGGGTAGGATAATATTCACTCTTGCACAAGCAGAGCCCATCTATATCGATATGGTCTTTCATAAGCTTACTGATAATGCTATCAACAAATTCTTGCTCAGGGATCGATTTTGCTGCCCAAGCTGCACCAGCGCAGGTATTCCATCGCTAGTGCAGGAAACTTGTATTGCCAGGAAGCACCCTGTGCAGGTAACATTTCCCACCACAGCAGTTATATTGGATAAAGGTGGAAAACTGATTCTTTTTAAATTCGCTGCAAATCTTTTTGAATCCAGGAAACAAATGTTTTATGAAATTAGTGAAATACAAAGGTCTGAATGCAGTGACCTTGCAGGACTAATACCGTACAATTACCACTAGAACAGTCACTCATGAGGTTACAATCACATCAAACAGACTCTTTGAAACTTCTTTTTGTGGTTGTTTACTGGATATCATGATGTGAAAAGCCATATACAGATTTCCCAAAAATAAAATACTGGAGCACATTGTCAAGTTTAGGTTCTCTTTGAATTTATTTAAATACCGGTACTCAAAATAACTCAAAATACAGTGTTTCATGTTTTGATAAACTGGTGCAGCCAGTATTTTGGTTGTGCAACCTGATTAATTTACTTGGTTGCGCCTGCATGGTGCAGGTGGTAAAACAGAATGAAATCGAACCCTGTTGCTTGGCCTTGATTGCTCTGTGATATAACTGAAACCTTTAGGACTTATCCTCTCATTACTCCTGGGTTGAGCTTCCATTGTAATAATAATGATAATGACAACAACAACAACAATAATACATAATATTAGTATTTGTAAATCGCCTCTCATCCAGAGGTTTTCCTTTCTCAAGAGCCCTCAGTCACATGCTCCTTTGGAGAGGATAGTCTTGAGTGAGAATGTGATGTGTCCATTCTACATCTGTATCTTTTGTTGGCCCGAGTCACACCCAAATGAAACAATCCCACATTGTGTTCAGCGTGAACGGCATCCCTGCGTGTTTGAGCAAGTACCTGCTGACGGATGTGTTGAGGACTGACTGGGGTTTCCCCGGCTACGTGGTGAGTGACGCGGGGGCGCTGGAGTTCTCCATCCAGTTCCACCACTACCTCCCGACCTACCCCGACACAGCTGCAGCCGCCGTCCAGGCCGGACTCAACCTGGAGCTGGCACCGGATCACTACAACACTACAGGTATCTGTAACACTAGGTCTTGCAGGGGCGGATCCACAATGTTTTAGAGGTGGAGGTTGGGTGTGGGGTTCACAGTGAGACTTTAAGCATTTGATGATTGTGGATGAATCTAGTAATGGGTATATGATACTACTACTCATAGGGGATTTTCAAAATGTGTGTGTGGGTGGAATCAATCCCCACTAAAAAAAACACCCGACCCCCTTGGACCCCCGACCATGTCAGTCTAAGGTGTATCAGGACAACTGCCTGCTGGAAAACTTTTAAATAATGTGTTCACTTTTGTAGTTTTTTAGAATAAACATGTATTGGCGGGGTTGAATGTGGATGAGTTGTATATTTCCCTGAATATGTATGTATGATGCAAATTCATATAACCCACAATCCACCACCCACAGTCAGCACGTACATCACTATTTACCCCTCATAATCCACAATGCAATCCACATCTCACACCCTACAATCCACACCCTACAATCCACACCCCACAATCCACCACCAACAGTCAGCACGTACATCACTATTTACACTTCATCATCCACAATGCAATCCACATCTCACACCCTACAATCCACACCCTACAATCCACACCCCACAATCCACGCCCACAATCCACACCCTACAATCCACATCCTACAATCCACACCCAACAATCCACGCCCCACAATCCACACCCTACAATCCACACCCCACAATCCACACCCTTCAATCCACAACCAAAAATCCATGCCCCCAATACACACCCTACAATCCACACCCCACTATCCACATCCCACAATCCACACCCAACAATCCACACCCTACAATCCATAACCTACAATCCACACCCCACAATCCACACCCAACAATCCATGCCCCCAATACACACCCTACAATCCACCCCCCACAATCCACACCCTACAATCCACACCCCACTATCCACACCCCACAATCCACACCCTACAATCCACACCCCACAATCCACACACCACAATCCACACACCACAATCCACACACCACAATCCACACACCACAATCCACACACCACATTCTACACCCCACAATCCACACACCACAATCCACACACCACATTCTACACCCCACAATCCACACCCCACAATCCACACACCACAATCCACACACCACAATCCACACCCCACAATCCACACCCCACAATCCACACCCCACAATCCACACCCTACAATCCACACCCCACAATCCACACACCACAATCCACACCCCACAATCCACACCCCACAATCCACACACCACAATCCACACACCACAATCTCCACCCCACAATCCACACCCCACAATCCACACACCACAATCCACACACCACATTCTACACCCCACAATCCACACACCACAATCCATACCCCACAATCCACACCCCACAATCCACACCCCACAATCCACACCCCACAATCCACACACCACAATCCACACACCACAATCTCCACCCCACAATCCGCACCCCACAGTCCACACACCACAATCCACACACCACATTCTACACCCCACAATCCACACACCACAATCCACACCCCACAATCCACACCCCACAATCCACACACCACAATCCACACACCACAATCCATACCCCACAATCCACACCCCACAATCCAAACACCACAATCCACACCCCACAATCCACACCCCACAATCCACACACCACAATCTCCACCCCACAATCCACACCCTACAATCCACACCCCACAATCCACCACCAACAGTCAGCACGTACATCACTATTTACACTTCATCATCCACAATGCAATCCACATCTCACACCCTACAATCCACACCCTACAATCCACACCCCACAATCCACGCCCACAATCCACACCCTACAATCCACATCCTACAATCCACACCCAACAATCCACGCCCCACAATCCACACCCTACAATCCACACCCCACAATCCACACCCTTCAATCCACAACCAAAAATCCATGCCCCCAATACACACCCTACAATCCACACCCCACTATCCACATCCCACAATCCACACCCAACAATCCACACCCTACAATCCATAACCTACAATCCACACCCCACAATCCACACCCAACAATCCATGCCCCCAATACACACCCTACAATCCACCCCCCACAATCCACACCCTACAATCCACACCCCACTATCCACACCCCACAATCCACACCCTACAATCCACACCCCACAATCCACACACCACAATCCACACACCACAATCCACACACCACAATCCACACACCACAATCCACACACCACATTCTACACCCCACAATCCACACACCACAATCCACACACCACATTCTACACCCCACAATCCACACCCCACAATCCACACACCACAATCCACACACCACAATCCACACCCCACAATCCACACCCCACAATCCACACCCCACAATCCACACCCTACAATCCACACCCCACAATCCACACACCACAATCCACACCCCACAATCCACACCCCACAATCCACACACCACAATCCACACACCACAATCTCCACCCCACAATCCACACACCACAATCCACACACCACAATCCACACACCACATTCTACACCCCACAATCCACACACCACAATCCATACCCCACAATCCACACCCCACAATCCACACCCCACAATCCACACCCCACAATCCACACACCACAATCCACACACCACAATCTCCACCCCACAATCCGCACCCCACAGTCCACACACCACAATCCACACACCACATTCTACACCCCACAATCCACACACCACAATCCACACCCCACAATCCACACCCCACAATCCACACACCACAATCCACACACCACAATCCATACCCCACAATCCACACCCCACAATCCAAACACCACAATCCACACCCCACAATCCACACCCCACAATCCACACACCACAATCTCCACCCCACAATCCACACCCCACAATCCACACACCACAATCCACACACCACAATCTACACCCCACAATCCACACACCACAATCTACACACCACAATCCACACACCACAATCCACACACCACAATCCACACACCAACTGGAATAATGTTAAAAGCGGCGTTAAACCCAACTCACTCACTCACTCATTACACACACCCACAATCTTCCACCACAATCCAATCCTCATTCCCCAATCCAATTCCAATTTGGACCCCACTTCCCTTTGGATTGCAAATTTGGTCCCTTGCACTGGCGACCTCATAAATAGATTCCACGTCTGTGTTTTCTATATCTAGTTGTGACACATGATGTTTGCAGTGTACAGGGCAATCCCTGCAGCAGTGGAGAGGGGTCAGTTGTCAGAGAGTCTGGTCAGGGAAAGGGTCAAGCCAGTGTTTGCCACCCGGCTGAGACTGGGGGAGTTCGACCCACCCTCTTTGAACCCCTACACCCAGTACAACCTGTCCCTCATCCAGAGCCCAGAACACCAGGAACTGTCTCTCCAAGCTGCTATACAGTCCCTAGTGTTGCTGAAGAATGATGGGATCTTACCTCTCAAGAAGAAGCTGAAGACACTGGCAGTGAGTCTTCTCAGGTCCCCAGTACAGCACGCTTGTCTCCCTTGGGGTTCGAAGAAAGACAGACTATATAGGTCCCCAGTACACTCTCCCTATGAAGATTCCAGGGCAGCATATTGGTCACCAGTACCCCCCACTTGTCCCACACCTTTTGGGATTCCAGGGCAGAGCAAAGGGCCCCAGTACCCAATACTTGTCTCCCTGTGGAGATTCCAGGGCAGAGCATAGGGCCCCAGTTCCCAATACTTGTCTCCCTGTGGGGATTCCAGGACATGATATTATTGATACACAATGTTGCAAGCTTACTGTTTGAATGGCATTCTAGGATTTGGAAAATTCGCAAGGGATACGATGACATGCATCGACCAAGCCAGCGAGCCTGACCACCCAATTCCATTAGTCGACACTTAAGACAAGCATAGTCACTTTTGGCGCCAAGCATGGGTTGCTGAAGGTCTATTCTACCCCGGATCTTCACAGGTCCCTCAGACAAGTACAGTAAACTACGTTTATAACGAACACGCTTACAATGAACTGACAGATATAACAAACTTATTTTTTTGTCACGGCCATTTGCTGCATATATGCTTATAACGAACTAGGGTTATAACAAACTAAAATTAGTGGCCCTTTGAGTCGTGCACATGACTTTACAAAAATATGCAGTTGATCAGGATCACTCTGTTTTAATGGAAAAGGATTGTAATATTTCTTGTTGACCTGTCCCAGTCAGCATTCAGACGTTGGCCCAACGTTGGCAATGGTTGGCAATGTCACAGTCGGATTTCATATGTTGGCCCAGCGTTGTTACTACTACAGGTATCATTTCGGAATTTATATTCGAGGGAAGCTACTCCAAATTGACAGGTTCTGATAGAGGGGCTTTGTGTTTTTGCACCTCTCTTAGAGCAGATACCCAATGTTGGACCAACGATATTTAGCCAACGTTGGACCAACATAAGTGATGATGTTGGACCAACATCTGACTGTTATTATGTAAATGTTTGTGACATTTGCATGTTTGACGGCATGTTTACTCTATAACTATTGTCTTATTAAGAAAATGATGTATTGTTTACCCCAGCTAATTGGCCCCATGGCAAACACGACAAGTCAGATAATGGGAGACTACTCTGCTGATGTGGAGGAGAGGTACATATCTACTGTGTTGGATGGCATCGCCCTGAGTGAGATGATGCGGTACTCGGCGGGATGTGACGACACGTGGTGCCGGGAGTACAGGGCAGCGGAGGTCATTCAGGCTGTGTCTTCTACTGATGCTACAGTCCTCTGTCTTGGTACAGGTGGGGTAATATTAGCAGCTTCTTGGAGCAAGACCTTTCAAGAGCAGATCCATCATTTCCAAAAAGGAGGGGTACAAAATATCCACTTCCTCTCTCAGATAATTTCACTGCCTACAACATCATACATTTGGTTTTCCTAGCGGGGGGAGGGGTCCGGACCCCATGGAATATAATGCTTTTTCCTCACCAATGTCAAACAACTTTATGATGTTGACATTGGTGTGAAGTAAACTGAACTCTCATTGGCCTGAATACTCTCTGATTTCCCTCTTACTGGAATAGTGTTCGTATCTAAGCAACTACATCCAATAGTGGTTGTATGTAAGCGACTACACTCCAAAGTGGTTGTATGTAAGCGACTACACTCCAAAGTGGTTGTATCTGAGCGACTACACTCCAAAGTGGTTGTATCTGAGCGACTACACTCCAAAGTGGTTGTATCTGAGCGACTTCACTCCAGAGTGGTTGTATGTAAGCGACTACACTCCAAAGTGGTTGTATCTGAGCGACTACACTCCAGAGTGGTTGTATGTAAGCGACTACACTCCAAAGTGGTTGTATCTGAGCGACTACACTCCAGAGTGGTTGTATGTAAGCTACTACACTCCAAAGTGGTTGTATCTGAGCGACTTCACTCCAGAGTGGTTGTATGTAAGCGAATACACTCCAAAGTGGTCGTATCTGAGAGACTACACTCCAGAGTGGTCGTATCTGAGTGACTACACTCCAAAGTGGTTGTATCTGAGCGACTACGCTCCAGAGTGGTTGTATGTAAGCGACTACACTCCAGAGTGGTTGTATGTAAGCTACTACACTCCAAAGTGGTCGTATCTGAGCGACTTCACTCCAGAGTGGTTGTATGTAAGCGAATACACTCCAAAGTGGTCGTATCTGAGAGACTACACTCCAGAGTGGTCGTATCTGAGTGACTACACTCCAAAGTGGTTGTATCTGAGCGACTACGCTCCAGAGTGGTTGTATGTAAGCGACCATACACCCAACAGTGGTAATATTTCAGCCACTACACCTAATAGTGGTCATATATATAAGCCATTTGTTTGCTTACAACCAAACCAGAGAGGCATGAGTTGTTGAACATTTCCAGGCCAGGCAGTCGAGACAGAAAACTTTGATAGAGTGGATATGCTGCTCCCAGGGAAACAGAAGGACTTGTTGCAAGATGTCATCAAGTATTGTGAGTATTTAATTATCATATTTTTCTGATATGAAAAGCAGGCCCTCAATTAGGGCTGTGACAACGTTGTTTGCAGGGGGACTAGACTTGAGGTAATTGATAGTCCTAGCAAATGCATTTGAACTTTTCTGTACTTTGAAATAATGACATGAGGCCTGAAACCTGAAAATACTTTTGCATGTATGAGGTGTCACCAAAGAAAGTGGTAATTAGAATCTGTTTTATCAGTGGAACTGTGATCCAACAATTAAAATAATAATGGCCAGGACCCTGTTCCACAAGGTGATCCTACGCTATTACTGTCGTAAGTCTTGGTTAAAGTTTAGAAGTTACGATCACCTTAGTGCTACGATGATCTTAACCTGTGTTATTCACTGTACACTTGCGTCTGTACTTTTGTGGTCTGTGTCATCATCTATCTTTGCCACTTATTACACTGTTCGTCACGATATGGCTGAAATGTTGCCAATGTGACGTTAAAGTTTAACTCACTCACTCACTCAATTATTACACTGAACATCCATTGTAATGCCTACATTGTTTTTGAAACCCCATGAATGGCTTCTCCAGAGTACACAGAGGGATTGAAAAGGCCTTGCAATTAAGAGTTTGCCTTGAAAAGACCTTAAAGCATATTTTCCTTGAAAGGGCCTTGAATTAACCCGAACTATGCATCAATACAAACCATCTTACCGAAGGGCGTTGACTGACTATAAAAGTCCAGTTTCCACCCTTGCCAAACTAGGCTGGAATTTCCAGGCTCGTTCATAGCGCCCCCAGTGACTGTTACAAGTTATGTCCCTTCTATACCCTTCCTATTGACCTATCATATTCCATCTCTCATGTTACTTGCAACTGTTTCAAACAAAATGGCGGCGTAGTCAAGACGATCTGATCGATAATCAAGATCTATATTGTAATAAAATGGCCTTACCTCGAGAAGTGCATCAAATTACTTGAGCACCTTGATGAAAAACCTGAAAAGATTTGCAAAATATCTGTCACTGCCCAGTTGCTTTGTAAATCCTGCAGTTGACCGAAATCTGCACGTTGAAATCCATGTTGTCTACGAACCTGATGTCTTGTTACGTTACACGAATTTGATTGGACTATGCATAGACTGGTTAGTGCAGCCAAAATGTTACTCCGGAATTCCAGCCTAGTTCGGCAAGCGTGGAAACGCCCTTACCTCAGTCTTTCACACTTAAGTATATTATAAAAAGGACAAGATAGGGCAAGAGCCTCCTGGAATTGTCCATTTTTAAAGTTGACAACTTTGAAATATTGGTATAAAAATTGGTATCTGGTAGCCTTCAATGGTTCTTACACCTCTAAGTTATTGACAGGCATGATCAAGTACATTAGCTGGAATGAGTGATGAAGGTGGACTTTTCAGGACTTTTCAGATCAGCAAGTTTATGACCCAAGATGAAAATGACCTTGTTTGTTATGAAAATTAAGAACAAATGATTCAGGGTGCTGATTCACCTGAAAAAATAAATAAATTTCAAATTATGAAATAAAAGTACAGTGATGGGATACAAAATGAATTGGACCATAGTATCAGGATCTATATCATATTGCAACCCCACCATTTTGTAACACCTCCAACACGAAGATCACTCAGCGAATGGGAATCTGGAATCCTATTAGAATAGCCATCAGATCTCCAGATCAGCTGCATTATTTCCAAAGGAAAACTTTAAGTACCCAATGTAAATATTAGCATGTGAGTAAACTCTCAATGGCTTTGGAAATTATTTGGAGATCTGAGCCATGGATATTGCAGCACAACATTGCGGCATCAGTTTGTCTGATTTTGTGTCTGTCTGTCCTACTGAAAGTGTTATTGATTGATGGCTTAATTGATTGAAAATAGCCACTTATTCTTCACAGGCTGTGCTAATATTATTTTAGGTAATTGACCAGAGAACTTAGTAACACAGAGGTGCGAGTCTTTGTCATTCTCAAGGGGCGCGGTGAAGGGGTTCAGTAATACCGCAAGGGGATTAGAGGACTCTGTGTGGGGGGAGCACTGTAGTGTAGTGTCATCGGCATTAGTGGCGTTGAGAATTGATTACAGTTAACAAGAGTTCGATCATGTAATTAACTGTGAAAACATCTTTGGAAGATGATCAGCTGTAGCCGATCCATCATCAATGCTTCACATGCTTGGGTATTCACATAACATGCCGCCATCCCGTCATGCGTATGACCAAGTCGTGACCGTGGGCCCATGGAGAGAGAAGCCACAGAGTGCTCAGACCAACACGTGCTCGGATGACACAGACAATATTTCTGATGCAACATGTGTCATGGACTCGAGTCTGGACCAGACATCATGTCTGGTTTGACATCATGAGCATCGATCCACGCAATTGGGATACGATGACATGCTTCAACCAAGTCAGCAAGCCTGACCACCTGATTCCGTTAGTTGCCTCTTACGACAAGCATTATCACCTCTTACGGCAAGCATGGGTTACTGAAGACCTTTTCTACCCTGGGTCTTCACGGGTCCTGTGGTTATGTACTAGGGCTCGGATGAGTCCAAATTTACGACCCGGGTTCTCGAGTTGCAATTATTAACTATATGCCTACTTGTTACAGGTCTCTAAAGTTGTGTACATTGTTTTACCAGAGTCTGGCAAAGACTATTTATATAGTAACATGTGCACGTATAAACAATCTGGCCATGCATACACTGAAGTTTATTGACGTTATATCTTTATTCAGAAATATAAAACTCACAAGGAATGCATGCATGGTTAGAAAGAAATGCAAACATGAGTGACTGTAGTGTAACCATGGAGTTGGAGTGAATTTTTGTCAATCACCATAATATCACATGACTAACTATGGGTCCGGGTAGTCCTGAAGATACCCAAGTCCTCTTAGTATCCATCCGACCTGAGTACCCAAATTACCCCTACCAGCCCTATTATGCATTGCCAGAGTTCCAGATAAATTTTTGAGCAATAGAGTTTTTACTCTAGGTTTCTATTATAATTGGGTTATTACATTTTTCATTTGGTAACCAATATTTTTTCACTCCTCTATTCATCAATGTATCGGGCATTTCCCAAAATTAGTCAAGATTTAGAAAAAATAAGAAATAATGTTTTGGACTGTTCTAAATAAAAAGGCTTGACCCAGGAAGTAAATTAGCTCGTAATTGTGTTTTGGAAATTAGCTACGTTGTAAGCATGCTGAAAAGGCTTCATTGGGAATTTACATGTGCTGTTTTTATACATTTGAGTTTTTCATTTAATGCATGAGTTTCTGTACGCAAGTTAATTGAAAGTAATTGGGGTTTTAATATTTTTGGGGGTATATTACTCAACTGATTTTTCATAGTGGTGTGTTTGTCTGGAACATATCTCTAAAACTAATAGGTATTCTATCATGACACTTTGCACACACAAAACCCTGGTTGTCAAATGGTGCCTTTTGTTATTTAGGGATTTTTGGAATTTATATTTTTTCTGTTTCCATGGCAACATGTTTCATTTTGAATCTGTTCATAGTAATGTGTACCTGACATAAAAAATGGTTAGTTCTGAATCCCAATTCCATGGTATATTTTTGATAGCCCAATAAATATTCTTGTATACGAAACAACAAATTACAGTCCGTTTTTTTTTTTCGGGGCCGGGGGATTTGTCATCTTCTGGTGACTCTTGTTTTAGATTTCTATGAGATTCTTTTGGTATTCTAGGGATAGCTAAGTGCCCTGTTGACCATGTTTTTAATAAGAGAAGATTGTGTGTCACTGAAGCCTGACATAGACCTGACCTGAATTATCTGCTAGGAACGAATAATAATCATTTGGTGATTACTTTGATTTTCGTTTACTTTGATTTTCGCTTACTTTGATTTCAGCGAAAGGTCCAGTAATCCTGCTACTGTTCTCAGGAGGTCCTCTTGATATCCGTCTGGCCGTCAGTTCTGCTAAAGTGGCCGCCATCTTGCAATGCTTTTTCCCAGCTCAAGCTACTGGCAAAGCTCTGCAGAGTGTGTTGACTTTGAGTGACTCCTACAGCAACCCTGCAGGGAGATTACCGTTCACATGGTATGCCTCTCAACAGCAGGTATGATATGGACTCACCTTTTGGAATGAATTATTTTTTAGGGAACAATTAGCCGGTCTGCCCACCCATCCAACCACTCCATGAACCATACATCCACCTTCCTTCCATCCATCATCCATCCATCCACCTGCCCATCCATCAATCCACCATCCATCCATCCACCATCCAACCACCTGAAAAACCCATCCAACTATTCCATGATCCATCCACCATCCTTCCATCCATCAACCTATCCATCAACCCATCCACCAATCAATCCATCCAACCATCCATCCACCTGCCCACCCATCCAACCACTCCATGATCCATCCATCCATCCATCAACCTATCCATCAACCCATCCACCAATCAATCCATCCATCCATCCATCATCCACCTGCCCACCCATCCATCCAAAACCCATCCACCCACCAATGAATCCATCTATCCACCTGTCCATCCACCATCCATCCATCAACCTGCCCACCCATTCATCCACCTGCCCCTCCATGCATCCATCATCCATCCATCCATCCATCCACCCATCCATACCCGTACCCTGTGGCCAATTACCTATTGTAGCCTATTCAGCTATCGTATCTGTATTTCCTTCCAGATCTGTGGTAAACAGAACAAATACAGGCATTATGCAGAACATGACCTTTGACTGCAGTAAATAAAAGCACTGCATCTTCTGGCTGATTGCAACTTAGACAGATAACACTCGTGTGAGATTGTGCATCAAGACACACATTTTGGGATGCGCGTGCATACAGATGCAATTATCACCTGAAACTGTGGTTGAAGTAGAATGTGTTTTGAATGTCATTTCGTTTGTTTAAGATACCCAATAGACAGAACCCGAGGGAGCAAACATATGCGGAATACCCATTGAAAAATATGTATACCCTATTTATGAAATAAAATGACAAGTAGGAGTTGTTTATCGTACAATAAAACACTCAAATGTTTAATTTTAATTTAATTTTGATAAACAACGACTACGAGTCGTATTTTCTTATATGAGATATCAACATTATGTACTGCCTCTTTAAGGATGTTGATAAAATGTACATGCTCTAAAAATAGTTACCTTATTTCAAATAATGATGATTCACTGAATACATCTGACCTTAGCAATGTTGGACAAGTCCATTTTGTGAACAGGTGGGTTAAGTTCTTACGTTGATTATCTGTACCTTTTCTCCTAATACCGATTGTCATATCTCGCCCACTTTTGGATGCAGTCTTTTGGCTATTGTGTTTACCTGCGTACCCTACATCTATGTGGAACAACTTACCAGACACTTCCCTCTAAAAAATAACGGCGTCCCATATATGACGTCATCAAGTTGTGAGCGCATATTCAAATGTCTAGAAATGACATCATGCTAGAACAATGTTTTATAAACCACACTTCATTTTTCATTGCTCTTTGTGATTTGGCTTGTAGCTGTTTTATATATATGCATAATGTGGGAGTGAGAGGTTTTTAGCTGCTTTGGACTGTATTTCAGTCTCAGCATGTCAGTTTTAATGAGGTGATGCAGGTCTTAGATATTTACCATTTTGGTGAAATCCAAGAGCATGCTATGGCGCTGACAAAACAAGCATCATAATTAGAGTGAATCTTTCATTTGAACTCATGATCGTTAGATTTTGATGTATCTCAGTAATGTAACTCAAGTCCTCATGATTTCTTCCTAGCCATATATATATATATATATATACAGGTGGCCATGTCGTCTATGGTGCAGAATCTGTGCAGACTTGCACTCCTTGGGCATACAGAAACTTGTGGTCTTGGGTTCGAATCCCAGATTAACCTTCATTATGCTTGCATCTCCCAGGTGTAGCCCACTGGTTAAAGTGTTCAATTGTCATGTTGGAGACTGGATTCAATTCCCCACATGGATACAATGTGTGAAGCCCATATCTGGTGTCCCCCATCGTGATATTGCTGGAATATTGCTAAAAGCGGCATAAAAACATACTCGCCCCCTCCCTCCCTCCCTCCCTCCCTCCCTCACTCACTCACTCACTCACTCAATCAATCAGACTATATTGGATGGTACAATAAAAGTAAACACAGATTGAAGTTTCATAAAATATCTCTTTTCCTACCAGGTCCCCAAGATGACAGACTACTCTATGAAGAACAAAACTTATCGCTACTTCACCGGGGAGCCTTTGTTCCCCTTCGGCTACGGCTTGTCCTATTCCAAGTTCAAGTACACTGACTTCCACATACAGCCAGTGAAGGTGAAGGTCGGGGAGAGCGTCACCATCACCTTCAAAGTGACGAATCTGGGACCACATGATGGGGATGAGGTAAGAAGAACTGATTGTAGTGTTGGGGTTAGACTAGGATGTACCTTGCAAGTCCAATCACTAGTCACATTTCAAATCAAGTGTGATGGCATCCTTGTTAGGGAGCAGTCATTTATTATAGGGTGGATGGGTTAGAGAGAATGAGGGTCGGGTCATCCAAAAATATGCATAGGAGGGTCATAAAAATGTAATACACATATTTGGGGAGGATCATGTAATAAAATGGACATTTTATAATAAAATATAAAGTGTCTTTGTATTTTGTCTTTTTAGGGAAGGTCATGAAAGAAATTACAAGGCCATGGGAAGGGAAGCCTAAGTATGACAGCATTAGGGGAGGGTCATTATTTTCAGTCAATTAGTGAATCAAAAACCTCTAGCTCACGCACCACTGTAATAAGTGACTGGTCCCTAAGTAGTGTATGTTAAGAATATAAATTACATTTTAGAAGCCTTTAGCGCGTCCTCCCCCCATTAGCTTGGTATTGCCGGATGAAGGTGAGTTTATGGCGGTCTGGTTGCAGTAATGGGTAGGGCTGGGACGAGTCCAAATTCACTACCCACCGCCCAATTACCTGACCCTAACCGGGTACCCGCTGTAGGTCTCAAGAGATAGGAACAAAACGTTTTACCGTACTTCTGTCAAAATAAGTTTAGGTTCGCGTATAAACCGATCTGGTCATGCATACACTGAAGTTGGCTGAAGTTATATCATTATGCAAACATATAAAGTCAGAAGGAATGTGTGTACAGTCAGAAAAAAATGTGAACATTAGTGACTTGAAGTGTAACCACAGAGTTCTAGATAATTTTTGCCGTTAAACAATATATCACATGACTAACCACGGGTCCGGGTAGTCCTGTGGGTACCCGGGTCCTACTCACTACCCACCCAACCCCAGTTCCCGAGTTCCCGAGTTCCCGAGTAACCCGTCCCAGCCTCACTAATGGGTCATAATGTCAAGGTTGATTTTACGTGAGACAACAGTAATTAAGTGCCAAGTCATGATGAGGGCTTGCAACATTATTTTGTGAGGGACAGATTATCATTAATTTATGAGTAGGTGGTTTTACATAATACACATTCTAGGAAAAGGTATGAAAAATATGATTTTCCTGATCTCAAGTGGAGACACTGTTCAGTTTTATTTTTGTTTGTTTGTTTGTTTGTTGTTTAATACTACGCTCAGCACTATTCCTATCATTTGACGGCAGTCTGTAAATAATCAAATCTCAACCAGACAATCCAGTGATTGACATCATGAGCATCGATCCACGCAATTGTGATACGATGACGTGCATCAACCAAGTCAGCGAGCCTGACCACCTGATCCCATTAGTCGCCTCTTACGATAAGCATTGTTGCCTTTTCTGCAAGCATGGTCTTTACGGGTCCACTGTTCCGTCAGTCACAAGATTTGTAATATGAACAATTAATGACGTCACTCCCGCCAACTTGGGAAACAAGGAAAGGATGGAGCATTTGGTGCCAACTAGCCCATGAGATGGAGCAAAAATTAGGATGCTCAGTTCAACCTGTGTTTGTGCCACTGTGGGTAATACATTGCAGATGATGTTTTTCCCTATTTGGATACGGAGGCAGATAACCATGATATCATCCTGGGAGACCTAACATGAGGATTGGTTGGTCACAGTGTGCTGTCTTGTTCATTTTATGTTATCTTACCCAGGATATCCATCATATCGAACGACCATATTAGTTGCTGGGTAAAGCTTGCAGCAATTTATTTTTTCCATTAATTTCTTAAGCAAATTATTTCTTTCCAATAATTTTTATGAACAATTTTTATTTTAAAACAATCTTAGGTTCCAATCGGTCCATTTTTTGTTACACTGTAGGTGTCAGTTTGGATGTGGACATCTTCCTGAGTCAAGGGAGTTGCTTGACTGTAAAAGTCCAGTTTCCACCCTTGCCGAACTAGGTTGCAATTATGGACAAATGTGTCTATACATAGTCCAATCAAAATCGCTTAACCAAATCGACATCCTGTTCGTAAACAACAATGGGCAGACTTTTGCACGATTTGCAAACGATATGTACCGTCAACCAGGCGTCAACCAGATATTTTTTTCAAATCTTTTCTTATTTTTAATTAAGGTGCTCACGTGATTTGATGCACTTCGCAAAGTAAGACCGGTTTTATTACAATACATATCTTGATCATCCATCAGATTGTCTTGACTGGGCGCTGCAAGTTTGTTTGAAGCAAATGCAAGTGATATGAGAGGTGAAATCTGTGTGGTCAATAGGAGGGGCATAGAAGGGACATAACTTGTAATCGCCACTGGTTGCGCTATGATCGAGCACAGAAATTCCGGCCTAGTTCGGCAAGGGTGGAAACTGGATGTTTAGAGTCAGTTAACTCCCTTGCCTCAGGAAGATGGGATGTGGATCAGTAGCGCTCTAGTTTGTTTCACAGGCATCATGTCAGTTTTTCCCTTTTCAGGTGGTGCAGGTGTATATGTCCTGGCATAACTCCTCTGTGTCTGCACCTCACATACAGCTGGTGGCATTTGATAGGATCCACTTGAAAAACAGGCAGACAGTCAGCCAGAAGTACACAGTCACTCCAGAACAGATGGCTGTATGGGTGACAGAGAAGGGGTTTGTGGTTGAGCCAGGTGGGTAGATAGTCATTTCAGAATAGATGGCTGTGTGAGGATTTCAGAACAGATGGCTGTGTGAGGATTTCAGAACAGATGGCTGTGTGAGGATTTCAGAATAGATGGCTGTGTGTGGATTTCAGAATAGATGGCTGTGTGAGGATTTCAGAACAGATGGCTGTGTGAGGATTTCAGAATAGATGGCTGTGTGTGGATTTCAGAACAGATGGCTGTTTGAGGATTTCAGAATAGATGGCTGTGTGAGGATTTCAGAATAGATGGCTGTGTGAGGATTTCAGAATAGATGGCTGTGTGAGGATTTCAGAATAGATGGCTGTGTGAGGATTTCAGAATAGATGACTGTGTGAGGATTTCAGAATAGATGGCTGTGTGAGGATTTCAGAATAGATGGCTGTGTGAGGTATTCGGAAGAGATGGCTGTGTGTGGATTTCAGAATAGATGGCTGTGTGTGGATTTCAGAATAGATGGCTGTGTGTGGATTTCAGAATAGATGGCTGTGTGAGGATTTCAGAAGAGATGGCTGTGTGTGGATTTCAGATCAGATAGCTGTGTGAGGATTTCAGAATAGATGACTGGGAGGATTTCAGAATAGATGACTGTTGGAGGATTTCAGAATAGATGACTGTGTGAGGATTTCAGATCAGATAGCTGTGTGAGGATTTCAGAATGGATGACTGTGTGAGGATTTCAGAACAGATGACTGTGGGAGGATTTCAGATCAGATAGCTGTGTGAGGATTTCAGAATAGATGACTGTGGGAGGATTTCAGAATAGATGGCTGTGGGAGGATTTCAGAATAGATGGCTGTGTGTGGATTTCAGAATAGATGGCTGTGTGAGGATTTCAGAACAGATGGCTGTGTGTGGATTTCAGAACAGATGGCTGTGTGAGGATTTCAGAATAGATGGCTGTGTGAGGATTTCAGAATAGATGGCTGTGTGAGGATTTCAGAATAGATGGCTGTGTGAGGATTTCAGAATAGATGGCTGTGTGAGGATTTCAGAATAGATGGCTGTGTGAGGATTTCAGAATAGATAGCTGTGTGAGGTATTCAGAATAGATGGCTGTGTGTGGATTTCAGAATAGATGGCTGTGTGTGGATTTCAGAATAGATGGCTGTGTGTGGATTTCAGAATAGATGGCTGTGTGAGGATTTCAGAATAGATGGCTGTGTGTGGATTTCAGAATAGATGGCTGTGTGAGGATTTCAGAATAGATGGCTGTGTGTGGATTTCAGAATAGATGGCTGTGTGAGGATTTCAGAACAGATGGCTGTGTGTGGATTTCAGAACAGATGGCTGTGTGAGGATTTCAGAATAGATGGCTGTGTGAGGATTTCAGAATAGATGGCTGTGTGTGGATTTCAGAACAGATGGCTGTGGGAGGATTTCAGAATAGATGGCTGTGTGTGGATTTCAGAATAGATGACTGTGTGAGGATTTCAGAACAGATGACTGTGTGAGGATTTCAGATCAGATAGCTGTGTGAGGATTTCAGAATAGATGACTGGGAGGATTTCAGAATAGATGACTGTGGGAGGATTTCAGAATAGATGGCTGTGTGAGGATTTCAGAATGGATGACTGTGTGAGGATTTCAGAACAGATGACTGGGAGGATTTCAGATCAGATAGCTGTGTGAGGATTTCAGAATAGATGACTGTGTGAGGATTTCAGAATAGATGACTGTGGGAGGATTTCAGAATAGATGGCTGTGGGAGGATTTCAGAATAGATGGCTGTGGGAGGATTTCAGAATAGACGGCTGTGTGAGGATTTCAGAATAGAGGGCTGTGTGAGGATTTCAGAATAGATGGCTGTGTGAGGATTTCAGAATAGATAGCTGTGTGAGGATTTCAGAACAGATGGCTGTGTGTTTCAAAGACTGATATTGATAACACACAAACATTCCTAGATATGTCCATGGCCAATCGCCCTGTTATGTTCTAGGTGAGATGACACTGTACACGGGGCCTATACCAGCCACGCTTCCAAGGCAGGGAGTCCGGTCTCCCCTGTTGGAGGGGAGCTTCACAGTGTACAGATGATGTTCTGTGTGATCAGCATGATCAAGAGCTTAGGAATATATCAGGTTTACCCTTCTTTGAAAGAACAGTGAGCTCAACAACCCGGCCTTAGGAATAAATCAGGGTTCCCTTCTTTGAAAAGATAGTTAGCTCAACAATCCAGGTTTAGAAATATATCAGGGTTACCCTTCTTTGAAAAGATAGTGAGCTCAACAATCTGGGTTTAGGAATAGATCAGGGTTCCCTTCTTTGAAAAGATAGTGAGCTCAACAATCCAGGTTTAGGAATATATCAGGGTTCCCTTCTTTGAAAAGATAGTGAGCTCAACAATCCAGGTTTAGGAATATATCAGGGTTACCCTTCTTTGAAAAGATAGTGAGCTCAACAATCAAGGTTTAGGAATAGATCAGGGTTACCCTTCATTAAAAGGGTAGTGAGCTCAACAATCCGGGTTTAGCATTACCCTTCATAGAAATGGTATGGACTGGCTGATTCTATCTGTGATATTTATATGAAGAGGGAGGTTACATTCTTTAATTATTTTGTAAAGCACATCTCTCCCCATCAGTGTATGTAGTCAACATGCTTTTCAGGATATGTCATAGTTTCCTACTCTGGGATGCTCACGTCATGTCATGCTCACGTCATGTCATGCTCACGTCATGTCATGCTCACGTCATGTTCACGTCATGTCATGCTCACGTCATGTCATGCTCACGTCATGTCATGCTCACACACCAGATTATTCATGCATTTATTTACCATAAACAGTAAACTGATAGTCACTTTTCTCACACTTGATGTATTGGTGATGGTGACTTTCAGTCATAATCGACTGATGTCTATTACTATTGGTGAACAATTTTACATCATGGATGTGTAGTTTCTGTATGTATATTTTGGTCATATTTCATCACTGTGTAAATAAACCAAGATTTTTTCATGATCCAGTGTAGATAGATTTTATGTCCACCATTGTCATTCTGGAAAGGTTTTCAAGTGGAAAGGTTAGCTGCCATTTCTCACTGTCATGTTTTTTGTCCTTCCATATCCTTAGAGTGAGTGAGTGAGTGGTTTATGCCGCTTTAAGCAATATTTCAGCAATATCATGGCGGGGAACCCCAGAAATGGGCTTCACACATTGTACCCATGTCGGGATTTGAACCTGGGGGTACTACTTGACGAGCGAACACTTTAACCACTAGGCTATCTGACCCCCACCCCCATATCCTATGAGAAGGAGTTCCAATACTGGTTAAAAGGAGCCAATTATGGGGCTATGTGTCATTAATTTTCAGAAGCCATGACCACATAAGTTCAAATCTGTTAAAAAAAATTACACGGGAGAATCTACTTCCCTATCAGACAAATCAGAAATTGTCTTTTGGTCAAACTGGTTCATCAGGGCTGATGAGACGTCAAATAGCTGGAATATTGCTGAGTGCGACTTAAACAGCATCCAGAGGTTTCCTGGGGTATTTACTATTCATATAATACACTCTTCAAAAAAAGAAACGCAAAGGTGTTTTGAGAATTCCAATTTGATTTTTTTTCCAGCAATCGTCATAAAGACAATTCTTATGTTTGATTCCCGTTAAACATGTCATGTTTGTTGTGCATTGCGCGCAAACACATCTCAAAATGTTTTTTTGTAAACGTTTATCAGCAAAAATGCAAAGGATGCACGGAAATTGTTTTCAGAAAAAGTTTTCAGCACAATGCACGTGCAAAATGTTCGAAACAAAAGTAGAGACACTGACTATAAAAGACCGTACAAAATTCATCAGTTCATTACGAATTTTCTGACGTGTACGGAGATCGAAAAATGCCAAGATTAACTGCAGCTGAACGAAATATCGCCATTTGGACGTTTGAAAGCAGGGGAGTCACAGTCTGCCGTTGCAAGACACTTCAACATTCACCAAAGCACCATATCTCGACTATGGGATCGATATACCCGCACTAATTCGACTCAAGATTATCCCAGAAGTGGAAGACCAAGAGTGACCACCCCTGTTCAGGATCGGTACATCCGGTTGCATCACCTTCGGAATCGATTTGCTACAGCAACGGACACTGCAGGACAAGTGCCTGGTATGCGAAGAATTTCCGACCAAACCATCAGAAATCGTCTGATGGAAGTGGGAATTCGAGCGAGACGACCAAAAGTTGGACCTGTCTTGGGACGTCTACACCGTCAACGACGTGTCCGTTGGTGCAACAGAGTACAGGCATGGGATCTCAGGAACTGGCGACCCGTTTGGTTCAGCGATGAGTCACGTTTTCTTCTTCAACGACGGGATGGAAGACAACGCACGTTTTGCGCCGAACTGCGTTCGACAGGTGGACCGATTTGGTGGAGGGAGTGTCATGGTGTGGGGAGCCATATCCTACACGGGTAGATCACAGTTAGTGGTTGTCAAAGGCAATCTTACAGCAAACCGATACATAGACCAAATTCTGCGTCCTCACCTCCTCCCAACTTTGGACCGCCAGAGGGAGCTGTTCCAGCATGACAACGCTCGGCCCCACACAGCACGTGCAACAGTAAATTTCCTTGTTAATGAGAACATCAATGTCCTTCCATGGCCGTCCAACTCGCCTGATCTCAACCCGATTGAACATTTGTGGGACGAACTTGATCGACGCGTCCGTCAACGTCACCAGCGTCCCCACACACTGGCACAACTCGCCAACGCCTTACGAAAATATCCGACGGCTTGTGCAATCTGTGCCAAGGAGGTGTCGAGCAGTGACGGCTGCAAGAGGTGGTGTGCACGTGACCAGGTACTGACCATGACGACCCTTGTGGCTACACATGCGCAATGACTGAACTGAATTAATGCTGACGATGACGACAATGCTTTTGTCGATCACTGTGTCTAATTTCATTTGATTGTGTTCACGCATATTCTGTGTAGGTACTTTTACATCCGCTTGATAGATATCCTTATTTTTGTACTATGCGTTTCTTTTTTTGAGTGTAGATCCTATACCAAGCTTTGCTCTATGAAATAAGTCAAACCAGACATGTACATGTACATGTATATATGCATCCTAGATTATCCAGTGTATTATGCTTCCATTCTATTTTGATAAATACCTTGGATCCATTCAACACGGTAGTTTAGTTGTGGAAGTGACGTCAAACCCCCATCGTTCATATTTCAAAATAGCAATTGCGATTCATTCGATTGGATGGCATTTCAAGGTAGTGCTATTCGAATTGGGGTCAGAACCAGGCTGTGGTATTGAATGGGCCATGCCATGACAGATTAAATATAGTAATTTGAAAGAATACCATGAAGATTTTGAGAAGTGCAGTAAACTGGTTCATATTCTCTCATTTTGTAAATAATATCCTACCAGACGAATCTGTCTGAAACAGAACCAGGCGACAGCCGATGGTGGCAGGGGATCCTCATCCTATGGAGCCGTCCTCAGACCGTCACACAGAAAAGTATCCCTGGGTGTAAAAGATCTGATTGTAATGACATTGCGAAAATCCTACATGTGTTTAACATCACCTGTTGGTGGATCAGTTTCATGCAGTGTGTAAGACTGACTGACTGAGTATGGTTTTACGCCGCTTTTAGAAATATCCAGCAATATCACGGAGGGGGACACCAGAAATGGGCTTCACCCATGTTGGGAATTGAACCCGGGTCTTTGGCGTGACGAGCGAACGCTTTAACCACTAGGCTACCCGACCGCCCCAAGTGTGTAAGATGCTTCCATGTTTGGTCAGTGTGTTACCAAGGTAACCAAGGGACACATCTCCCAGTAACACTCCTCACGAAATGTTTTGGTGTAAACACCCGTCAGCTCACCTGTAAATATGCCGAGAGTCTTTCCCGACACTTAGAAGTTAGATGTAAACAAGACGAGGAGTATTATTATTGATAACAACTTCTTTATGACGCATACATGTTTCAGGGCTACCTTGTGCAGGTTCATCCAAAGACAGGATGGGGGTACATGGCATATAAATATCAACGAAGCCAAGAGAGACGTCTGTCGTAATTAATTAAAGTAGCGAAGCCATTTTTAAGTTGCTAAAAGGCTACAAATTACTAATATGCATTATCCACTGATATCCTTTGGGTATATGTTTAATCTACAACGCATGCTATATCCCATTTTATCATCGGAATAACAAATCCAGATTTTTCAAACAAAGAAGCCCTGTTTTTTCTAAGCCGCATACGATAACCGACTTCATCATTGAAATTCAGTTGTATCGTGTTACTCGATCTCTCACAGTTCGTGCAACTGCTCATTAACGCTTTCGGACTGGCATAGGGAGCGGTGATATCGCGGTCAGGAGTTTGACATTGCAGGTGTGCACGTCTTTGAAGTGGATAGTCTTGAAACTCCCTTCATGTGTACTGGCTGGAAATAGCCCCAAACCGACTCCTTTGCCGCACTTACCAGTGGATGCCAGCTTGGAAGCACGTGTGCCGTCACACAATCGACAGAAAATGAAGATAAATTGTTATGGGCTGAGATGATACGGGTTAACGTCGCGTTCAAGATGATTGAACTTACATAGGGACGTGTATGTGTGGCTGCTTGTACTAGTCCGGACTAACACCGGTTTTATAGTACTAGATAGCATAGATACCATTCCACAGTTTAACATGAAAACCCCACTCAGACAGAGTATACTGACTGCCTACCAGTCCTTGTTTTAATCCCTTAAAACCGAGGACAATGCAGGGTACCATCTTTTGTTAACGTCTTTTGGTATGACGCGGCCTGGGATCGAACGACCGGGCGGACGCTCTACCACTAGACGTCGGAGGCGGTTAATTGGTGTCAAGTATACATCACGTCGTCTTGAATTGCTTGTCTTCAAAGACCGTATTTATGGTCAGATAAGCATAGGTATACACGGGATTTTACCCTGCATGACACATTCTCATTATTGATTCTGTTTGTAGATCTCTCAAATTCCTCTAGAAATTCCCAGTAGGGTTTTCCACCAACCATGTTCGTGGTGAGTGAGTGAGTGAGAGAACTGACGCTTCTATAATCCTGAAATATCAGGTGGGTGACAACAAGAATGTTTTTTACTATACTTGTGAGAAACCAAACTAATGTTCGGGCGTGAGCGAACGATTTAACAAGACTACCTCTTCAACGTGGTTTTGTTTGTTGTCAAGCGCCGCACTATTTAACGGTGGCTTTCCCGTGGAAGGTCTTCAGTAAAACATATGAAGACACATTTGTCAAGAAAGGCGACTACAGTCTAGCAGTTTGAAAGTATGTTCGATCGCTTGCAAAAGATTTATTCCTTGACGATACAAGCTTAAGTTCCCCGAGGAACGTTTACACGATGTTCCCATTAGGTCCTCCGGGACCTGCCGGTCAGAATAGGCCCTAGGGGTCCCAAGCTTGTAAGAGACGACCGTAGAAGAGGTCTTCAGCAACCCATATGCTTGCCGTATAAAGGAGACTATGCTTGTCGTAAGAGGCGACTAACGGGATCGGATGGTCAGGCTCGCTGACTTCGTTGATGCATGTCATCGTATCCCAATTGCGTGGATCGATGCTTATGATGTCAATCACTGGATTGTCTGGTCCAGACTCGATTATTTACAGACCGCCGTCATATTGCTGCAATATTGCTAGGTGAGGCATTAAACAACAAACAAAAAAACAAAAAAACTTTTGCAAATATGCACGATATTTCATCGCTTGATCGAATACAGGGCTCGTTGCGATATGTCACGGCTACAAAGTATATATACGTTAACCTTTTTATGATAGTTTCAGGAATGTTTTTGAAGTTTAATTACTTATACCTCCATTCGAAATAAGTTAGAAAAGAACCGATTTGTTTGGATGATGTCCCAGGTCGTATGCATACTGATTATGCATTATTCATAACAGGAAGTGATGTAAAGCACATATTCTACACATGTCACACCACAGCTTAGTGATACTGCGGTAATATAGAGTTGTCCGCCCTTGAGTCGCTCGTGACGGGTACTCCATTTACCAATCTCGCTAAAGAAAATCAGCATGGATCAATCTTAATTGATGTTTCATTAAGGATGAAGAAAGAACAAAAAAAACATTTTGTGTATGACATATTTACTAGGTTTGTAAGCGTGCGCCATTACGATCCATTATGAAATTAGCTACCGCGGTAATTAGCGCCTTGCTACTTCCATTACGTGTCGTCACAGAAAATTACTGTCATTTGTTGTCGGGTTGTTTGTGCAACTTTCTGTCTCCACGTTCGTTTATTCCATTCTTTGTGTCACGACGTTTTTACATTTCTCTTTTAACCTTTTGGAAGGCATTTTAGCTTACAGCTATAATATCGTACTCCAATTTCAAGTGTAAATTCAATTTCAAGGCACGACAGTTAATGTCTTTCCAACTAGGAATTTCACACGTTGAAAATAAGAAATGTAACATTCGAGAGATTGGCCCTCATAGCCTTCTGACACTTTCGATTATTACGCAAGTGACCGATTTTCCCATGCTTGCGTGATGTTGAAAGCCGTTTGCGGCCAACAGAGACCGTACTTACTTTTCTCGCATGTAGGTGACGGCTCAACAAGTACATGTTACGGGCTTGCTCCGTGCCTTTCATTATCTTGCATAAGTGGTTATGTCGATATGACAAGCGGCGACTGGAAACTTTGCAGCTTATATAAGACTATAGGTCACATACAACGATTATTTTGTTTCTCACCAACCGACTCTAAAAATCGCTACGGTCCTATAATTGTTTATACTTGTATATTTGTCTATGTTAATTTCAGCTCCAGTTCTACATTTTTCGATTATTTGTCTTTTCCAAGTTGCACTCTGTGTTTATAAACCCATCCTGACAACGAACAATGCCATTCGCAATATTACAAATCATGCAACATTGGACCCGTGAAGAACCAGGGCAGAAAAGGTCTTCAGCAACCCAAGCTTATCGTAAAAGGCGACTATGCTTGTCGTAAGAGGCGACAAACGGGATGGGTGGTCAGACTCGCTGACTTGGTTGATGCATGTCATCGTATCCCAATTGCGTGGATCGATGCTCATCATGTCAATCACTGGATTATCTGGCCGAGACTGGACTAAAGCTGGACTATAGCTGGGATAATTTCTGTACACAGTATTGCCTGTTCCAGACTCGATTATTTACAGACCGCCATCATATAGCTGGATTATTGCTGGGTGCAGCGTTAAACAACAAACATGAAACATTGTGAGGGAGTGAGTTGGATTTACCGCCGCTTCAAACAATATTCCTGTTATATTTCGGCATGTCAGTTAAATGTGGGAGGAAAGCCCAAATTGATGCAGGTCTCAGACGTTTACCACTTCGGTGAAACCCACGAGCACTGGTATGGTGCTGACAAACCTAGAAACATATTCGGGGCGAACTGTGATTCGAAACCACGATCATAGGTTTCTGACGTGCCAAAGGGACGCAACTCACAGCTAATTGCGGCGCCTTAGACGACGGGACCACCCCTGAAACATTATGACGTCATGGATGGGCGTTGTTGTATTCATTTAGTAAAATTGGGAATTTAATTTGAAGTGATTTGGAAATCTATTTTTAAGATTATTTTTTTTACCTACATGTAGATACATAGAGGTTATCACGCGAGTGTGTTTGGGGATGGTAAATATCCTGCATTAGGAATAAACATTGTATTTAGCGAGCCTTGGCGAGCTAAATACATAGTGTTTATTCCTAATACAGGATATTTACCATCCCCAAACACACAAGCGTGATAACCTCTTTATCATATAATGTCATTCTTTAATTCTGTGCTTAAAAATCGCTTTCCCTCTCTCACAAACATAACCGAAACATTGCGAGTTTTCCTGCAATGCGCGCATTAATATTTATTACGTCAGAGGGTAAGTGACGTGTCAGTCGGACAGTGACAGTAGCCAATATAGTTCCAACTGAAATCTATTTCTTATACAGTGGCGAAGCAACATAAACGCAAAACAACAATTGTTTTTAATTGCCTTTTGCGGCAATCCATCGGTCTGTTCGCTAGAGTAACTGCCCTTTGTCAAAGGGAAGCTACTCTAACCCTAGTCTCTGAGACGTCACGGCCACGGTCAGACCTTGTTGACAGTCGGTCTGTCCTGTCATAACGTTAAGAAGTGTAGTCAGATGTACACACAGCGACAAAACGCAACAAGGTAACAATTCACATATATTTCGGCCAAATCCAACTTTTTTAATTTGTGGTGAAGGTTTCAAGCCGCAGAGGTCTACAAGCACAGATATGGCTACTGATCCCGCTTGGCTAGGCCTCGTGCCCTCGCAAATTTGTTTCGAAATTTATATCTCCAAAGTTGCCCAAACTTATAAAATGCCTTATCTACGTCACAGCTAGACACTGATTTTCACCGAGAAACCTACCCGTTATATGATAAATATAATTAACAGTGATGGGAAACAAGAATTGTTTAGTTTGCCTTTAGTGCTCCGAGCCTCACTCTTATGTCTGTCCATCATGTCGGTATTGACTGGTTCGGTGTCGCTTCTCATTTAAGGTTCAAGCTGATTGTGTGGGGGCTTATGGCCTGGCACTGAGATGGTCTTCTTTGAGACTCAGTAAACACGAGCTCGGACTTATGGCAACAGCGATGTGTTCAGGTATTGATGATGATGCTCTGCAAGAACTGTACATGTAACACATTAGGCTTCGCTTGAGAATGCATGTCCATATACATGTAAAACACTCAAAACAAGTTGAAGAGACACACAGATGGAAGGCTATATGTTGCAATACCCACCGGCTATGACAGAGTAACTATTATCACATGTTAAAAATCAGGTAGTGTTTATCATCTTTTGAGTATCACATGACGGGCCGGTCATTAGTGAGGGGAGTTTAGATGGGGTTTAACGTCGCGTTTAAGATTATTGCACTGATATAGTGACGTGCATGCACATTCCGGTTTTATAGTGCTACCATGCCGCAGTTTAACATGAATACCCCATTCAGACACAGTATGCTGACTCCTTGTTTTTGGCCGTTAGTGGCGAGCGCAAGACAGGGTAAGAACAAGTACCATAATTTAACGTCTTTTGGTATGACGCGGCCGGGGATCGAACCCCGGACCTTCATCTCTCCGGGCGGACGCTCTACCACTAGACCACGGAAGCGGCCTCGGTCATTTGTTATTCTGGAGGGGATAGGCCATGGATATTTTATTATACCCGGTTCCCGAAAATGCTCAAAACAAATAATGTTTCACCCCAGGCTTGACCTATAGATGATGGATGTCCTAGAATATGTTGTGTTGGGGATAAACAAGACATGTTTGGCCCCTCCTGACATGGGAAATGTATTTTATTGTAGCGTGTTGTAAGTCGAAGGATCGCCAGATGCCATGTCCGTCGCAAAAGCTATATAAAGATGATCATGGGAGTATTTCATCATGCTGTCAACTAATACTCCTTATCCACGCGAGTATTTCACGGTGGCCTGATGCTGTAGGCGACAATATCCCTCGCTCTTTTTCCATTGCTGCTGGTGTCCGTTTCTTGAAGAACACAGAAAACAACGATGCACTGTCTAACAATTTATTATGCACACCATCCAAAATTGATGTTCACTATTTTCATTCGTAAGTCTATAACAATTGCTCGATGGCTTGTGTATGGCATAGGTCCGTCCACACACAAACCGTGACATCTCACAGAATGTTTACGTGACAATATGGTTAAGGACCGACCGTATGATATTCGGGGTTTGGGTGGGTTGGGATTTTGTCTAGAGAGAAGATAATGTTTCAGCTACATCTGCAAAAACTAGATAATGACAGTGAGATACTTTTTTAATTACAACAAAGAGCCTGAATATTTTTTCAGAAAAACACCTTCGAACAACGTAATTTTTGTGACGGAGTTTCTCGGGGTTTTTTTCAGTCTGAAGCATCTTTTTTTTCAAGACATTTCTGGGACAATTTTCTTTTTCGATAACACCCCTCACCCCCTTAGCCCCTAATATCATATGGACGGTTCCTAACGGCATTACGACACTGCATTATATACACTCGCACATACATTGAGAGGAAGTCTCCAACCAACCTCGAACATTGAACACCTACATTATCGATGTACAGTAGCTTGACAGATTAACGACTGAAGATTCATTCTGACGCACATGGCAGCCCGCATACAGGAGCGACATAAACGAAAACGTAAGATCAATAGTCCCGTGATAGATAGGTATTGTCCATGTGTAATTAGATCAATTAGGACCACATATGACTCCCAGCATCTGTACCTTGCTCTCTCAGATAGGCCAAATCGTAGGTCTCTTGCTATTTACCGTGGCTCACGACTACAAGACGGCGTCTACTGACCTATTTATTTCCTCGAAAGGTCACACTCCATCGGTGACATCGGAAAGAAAATCTGTTTTCTGCAGTACGACATCCAAAAATGTAATTGTCCAGAAATATTATATATATCACCGACACATGAATATACGTTTTCTTGACTTGTAACCAATGTTCCAAATCCGCGCCTGCCCAGTGTTCCGTGACTGGGGCATCTCAATTCGGACCCGTAGTTGGGGTGCTTGTGGCCTGCAGTAAGTTTACATGTCAGTTTGTTTATCACGATGAGCTGTAGTTTCTTAAACGAGGGCCTGAAGTGCTAAGTCCGGACTTGCAGCTTCTAAAATAAGTTGGTCCGGCCTGACAGTTTTTTTTATATTTTAAACACTGCTTGTAACCGACAAGACTTCCGAAATATACATCTTTGGAATTCTAGAACATTGTCATTGACCACTTATTTCGGCAGGGAGGTTATTGACAAATAATACTTTTGTGGCTAGAGGTCATTGACCTGTAATACACAGCCCTTATTCTTTAGCCAGTCCGGCCGATGATATTTGATTTATTACCGAAGGAGTTACTGACCTTAAAACATGTGACACATGGCACTTTACAAGGGAGGTAATACCTTATCAAAGAATTAATGCCCATAATACAATAGCAAATAATAGATACGTTATAGTATCACCTTCGCCAGGGGATCTACTGGCCTGAGGTACTTTACCAGGAGTGTCACTTAATTGCCCTTAACCACCTTAACAGGGGACTACGTACTTTTTTTCTCTTTTTTAAACTATATTTATTTCCACTTGGTAAAGTGAAAGGGGACTGCTAAACCGGCAGAACCTAAATAAATATCTTTCCTCATCAAAGTTCAAACAAGCAGCTGTAGTATATGTGTTATACAGTACTACGTACTCTTAACTACCTTACAAGAGGAGTCATTTACAATTACCAATACCATTAATGCCATAACGTCCAAACAAGGGCAATAGCGGACCTTTAACACATAGCAACGCACCTTCATGGCTTCTCAGTGGCGTCATCCACAATACGGGGCGGTCTGGTAGCTAGTGGTTAAAGCGTTCGCTCGTCACGCCAAAGACCAGGGCTCGATTCCCGACATGAGTACAAGGTGTGAAGGCCATGACTGGTGTCCCCCGCCGTGATATTGCTGGAATATTGCTAAAATGCGGCGTAAAACCATACTCACTCATCCTTGATACCCTACCAGTCGCAGACTCGTAGTGCCGCGCCAGGCGAGTCACCTTTGACACCTTATCCATGGGAATCCATGCACTTCAATGCAGTAGCCAGGAGATTCACTGACCTCTAATACAGGACTGTTCCTGCACAGGAATCCGAAGTTCTGATTTAATCTTGGAATTGTTTTGTTACTATGAAATAGTCTGCCTCCGTGGTCTAGTGGGTAGAGCTTCTGCCCTGAGAGCGGAAGGTGGTTCGCGCCATACCAAAAGTCGTGAGAGATGGCACCTTATGTTACTTCTCCTGGTGCTGAACCGGATGGCTGTTTCCGAGTAGTGTATCCACGTTAAACTGTGCCATGGTATATCAGACGGCTAGCACTATGAACCGGCATTAGTCCGGACAAGTACAAGCAGCCACATACACAGGTACGTCGCAATGTAAGTCGATAATCCTGAACGCGACGATAAACACCACCTCTTGTCAAATACTTCGCTTTACTCAATAAAACCATAGAACTTCGGATGCCTACATTTCTGACAAGCAATGTAAACACTCCGTGAATCAAACAGCAAGGCGTGGCAGCCTAACGCATCCACCTTTCATCAATGACTTAACAACCTTCATTCGATCTTCACAGCGAACTATCACGACCGACGCCGATCAATCCAACAATTCCGAGTGTCACGTGCATCTCAAGATGATGTCTAGGGGTCACGTGACTTGATGCTGGTCCGGGTATGCTGACACCATTGTCATTCAATATACCGGCTAAAAAAGGATTCTTTTCTCGTGTCTGACCTCGACTTCAGCATCCCCGATGTAAATGCCTTCTCTTGTTCGGTCGACGATGACTCGCCTGATCGGCCTGCAAGTTTCAAATATAATAGACTTATACTAAAATAACTAATAGAGTAAGGAGACTTAAGACAGAATACGATATCTGGTGTAAGGTAACAATTAATGTTTCCATGTTTTACAATCACTGAAGTACCTGTGATATTTAAAATAAACAAAAGGTATGGTTTCTGGAGCATCGGAACGATACCTGCTCATCGTTTTTATTCGATTTCGTTTTAAAATATGTTTCATATATACACTTCGAAGATCTTCTGTCAGACAACGGAAAGTATACGCTCATGTTTGATGGTGGCTTAACATGAAACAAACAAGACACGATTATTCGATGGTGATGATTTGCAATATTTCGACGACTGTTTTCATCCCAGTTTTGATAACGTTTGTAATTTTGTGCTCAATTCCAATTTCCAAGTGTATACTTTGTTTTGCCCGACAGTTTAGTCAGGAACCGGTTGCTATATATTTCCACATAAAATATCTAATAGAAAAACTCGGTTCCTGTAGTAATTGTGACATACCCCAATACAGAAACCAAAATATCCACATGCCATGTTTAGTTACTGCTCCATTCAAACAGTGGTTTGGCAATCCTTTTCACTGCCTACTCAGCACCTCTGTATCATATGGTCACGGCGAAGACACGAGTTTGATTCCCGACATGGGTACAATGTGTGAAGCCCGTTTCTGGTGTCCCCCGTCGTGATTTTGCTAGAATATTGCTAAACGCGGCGTAAAACAATACTCACTCACTGATATGACTCAGCGTTTGCATCTGGGGAAGCGTAGGGTTTTCAGGCGTCGCTGGTATATGTATCTCCGACACTTACCAAACGATCAATGAAGTGTGTAGCTTTTTGCAGAAGGGACATGGAAGTTCGGGATAAAACATTATATGAACATGACAACGGGGTGCTACTTAATTAGTTATTCTGGTATGCATGGCGACCACAGACTTGAGAACAGGTGCATTGTACTGGAGGAACAACACACCTTTAGTGATTTGCCCACGACGTTTAGCCTTGATATTTTCACGCAGTTGTCTAGTAAGTGAATGAGTATGTTTTTACGCCATTTTTAGCAATATTCCAGCAATATCACGGCGGGGGACACCAGAAATAGCCTTCGCACATTGTACCCATGTCGGGAATCGAACCCGGTTCTTTGGCGTGACGAGCGAACGCTTTAACCACTAGGCTACCCGACCGCCCCCGCAGTTGTCTAAGCAGATTAGCTTAATATTGTCCATTGATGTATTCCTGTAGGATTACTTTGGGAACGCGGAAAACCGAAGCCATCACCTCGCAGACCGACTGAACAGTCTTTCCAGTCGTTACAGGGGCGGTCGGGTAGCCTAGTGGTTAAAGCGTTCGCTCGTCACGCCGAAGACCCGGGTTCGATTCCCGACATGGGTACAATGTGTGAAGCCCATTTGTGGTGTCCCCCGCCGTGATATTGCTGGAATATTGCTAAAAGCGGCGTAAAACCATACTCACTCACTCACTCCAGTCGTTACATGTTTCCGCTGTTGTTTAGTCTCTGGCTGATAGTGGTGAACCCAAGACTCTATGGTTACACATCGGAGTGTTGGAGATACTTGGCAGTGCTTGTTTAAATATGCTGCCTGGTTGTGTATTTGGTTCAAAAGCATCTTGTAAGCATGGGAAGTATTGTACTTAATACATGCAAACTGTTAAGGGTGTACTATACAGGCTCAGAACAGTTCACCCAACTCTTGCATCACGGGGCTTAATGTGGAACGAAAGCCAAAAATGATGCAGATCTTGGACGCTTCTGACAAACCAAGTATTATAATCAGGATGGATCATTGATTCGAACCCACAAAACAGTAACAGGGACGATAGGGCCACCCGTGTTCCAACTATGACAACAGTAACAACAGCCAAGATTAAAATTGGTCTCGTTCAAATTATATCTCAACATGTTACATATCTCGTCTCAATATATCCCGACTACATTATATTCCGAATATCAACTACCATCTTTAATACTTCACAGCTTCGTAAACACTATCTTCCTTTATCCCATGTGAACACATACGGCCGCTTTGAGGTGCAGCCGCTATTTTTAACGAGGGAAAACAGTAGGCGCTCTGACCAATGACGGCTCCGTTACATCGACAATGTATCTCGAGCAACCTGCGGCCATCGGTTCTACACATTATGGGGTTCACATAAAGCACATGCAAGGAGTAGGTTCTATTTCATCAACAGCGACGTATGGACGATGATTCTCCACCGATATACTCAGTCGTCTATACAATGATAATACACCGCAAAAATGGTGAACGTTTATCTTGAATATCGAGGACGTAAACTTTCAAGAACTCTATCTATGATTAATAGTTCTGAATTCAAACGGGGGCACAGGTGGCCCAGTCGTCTAAGGCGCCGCGATTCGCTGTCCAGAGTTCCGTCCCTTGGACACGCCAGATTATGTTTCTAGGTTTGTCAGTACCAACATGTGCTCGTGGGTTTCACCGAAGTGGTAAACGTCTGAGACCTGCATCACTTCGGGCTTTACTTCCACATTAACTGGAATACTGTTAAAGCCACGTTAACCCAACTCACTCACTCTTAATTCCAACAAATTACGAGTCAAAGCGACTGGGAGATGGCTGACACAAGAAAACACTACATGTATTACTACTCACTTGCTTTTCACCGCCTCGCCAACTTTCCTCCGCCTCGAAAATATCCCAATAACACAGTTCCTGAAGTCCTGGTTGAACATGCAGTAGATGACGGGATTCAGCAGGCAGGAACTTTTGCAGAACATGGTCGGAACCGTGGACACCCATGGAGGAATGTCATCGACGTAGGCAAACACGTTGGACAATATGGCGTATGGTGACCATAAGATGGCGAAGGATACGACCATGGCCATAGAAATCTACAACAATGAATGGAAGTCACTGCATGAGTTGGATTTAAACCCGCTTTCACTCTTGTCACGATTGCGGGGCACGTTGTTCATGTTGCTCCATTATTTACATATTGCTGTAATGTGGCCTCAAATATGCCGACTATCGCGTAGAACGGGGCACGGGTGACCAACTCGAATAAGGCGCCGTAGTATGCTGTGAAGAGTTGCGTCCCTTGGGTACGCCAGAAGCCTATAACAGTGAGTTGGAATCCCTGTTTTGCCCGATTCTGTTTCTAGGTCTGTCAGCACCTGCGACATCCCACATTATGCTGACATGCTGTGATATAACTGGAATACTGATCAAAGCGGCGACTGACTCACTCACTCAATATCTCGTAGAACAAGAAACAAAACGGATGTCATCACCATATCTGAGATATTGGACTTCCCTCTGACAGACTGTGATATTACAGAAATACTGTTCATAGCAGTGCTATCCCCAACTCACTTGCTCTGTAAAACATTTGGAAAGATGGCATATTTGTTTAGATGGTTTGCGAAATATTGGGAAATGAAAGCTTTTGCTGTCTGGTGATAGAAAAAGGGAGCATGTTCCTGAAGTCCTATTCACATTTACCGCGACCCCTACCCAGGCGAGCCTTTCTCCCTGTGAGATATTAAGATATATTCCCGAAGCCCTGTTCACATCAAGACGACTTACCCAGGCGAGCCTTTCTCCCTTTGAGATATTTAGATATATTCCCGAAACCATGTTCACATCAAGACGACTTACCCAGGCGAACCTTTCTCCCTGTGAGATATTTAGATATATTCCCGAAACCATGTTCACATCAAGACGACTTACCCACGCGAGCCTTTCTCCCTTTGAGATATTTAGATATATTCCCGAAGCCCTGTTCACATCAAGACGACTTACCCAGGCGAGCCTTTCTCGCTTGGAGATATTTAGATATATTCCCGAAACCATGTTCACATCAAAACGACATACCAAGGCGAGCCTCCCTCCCTTTAAGATACAGAGATATATTCCTGAAACCATTATCACATCAAAACGACTTACCCAGGCGAGCCTTTCTCCCCTTGAGATACTGAGATATATTCCCGAAACCATGTTCACATCAACACGACTTACCCAGACGAGCCTGTGCTCCTTTGAGATATTTCTCTGTTCGAGTGCTTCGTCTATACTGACTGCAGTCCTAGTGGCCTTAAGCCTCTTCATGAGTCGTCTTGATGTAACCACGACTTTCACGTAGCTGAACGTCATGATGCCAATATTGACAAAGAAGCAGAAGAAGATGAGGCACAAAGTGTAGGCTCGACCAGCGTGGCTTCTCAGTGTCCAGTCGATGCTGCAGGAAGTCCCGAAAGGTTCCAGGACGTAGCGGCTCCAGCCAAACAGTGGCATCAGTGTCCAAAACAGTGAGTACAGCCATAGACCCGCTATCACCATTCGCGTGAACTCGATTGTCAGTCGATATTCTGAAAAGTGTTAATTTCAACAATTTTAAACGTAATTCTTCACAACCTGGTAACTTCAACGTTAGTCGTATTCTGAAATGTGGTGAATACAATGTCAGTGTGAATGGCGAATGCTACCGGCAGGCAGATGTTATCACTGAATTTTATTGGTCCATCCATATAATTTTCACAGCTTTATTGACATTTACGCCAAATGGAATTTGATTCGGCGGATCATCAAGACTGGTTATTCCCTTGCTTTGACATTTTACAGTATACAGCGTAATTTTTCACAACCTGGCACTATCAACGTAAGTCGCTATTCTGAAAGATGTTCAGTACGACGTCTAAGAAATATAATACTTCCGATATAGAATCCTTACACATTGTTTATATTGCAGGACGCAGTAAACCTTGCCATCTTCCATGGCTTGCGATGCTAACGGAAACGAACATGTATCAAGGACTATGCGATGTAGTTAATTAACGTACAGGTAACATTCTGTGTTTAATGTTCATTAATGATCGTGCACATGAACATGAACCTTTCCATGAACTTGGAACTCGGAAGTTGCGGGTGTGTCAAACAGCACGTGTTCCTCTTTTGGCGGTTGGGTAGCCTAGTGGCTAAAGCGTTCGTTCGTCACGCCGAGAACCCGGTTCGATTCCCGACACTGGTACAATGTGTGAAGCCCATTTCCGGTGTCCCCCGCCGTGATATTGCTGGAATATTGCTAAAAGCGGCGTAAAACCATACTCGTTCACTCCTTTTTGGTGTACTTCGGAACATTTTTAGGGAAGCATTAGGTTTCTGGCCTTACTGTTTTGTGCAATGTTTTTTTTGGTCAGTTGAGGGGAAATTATTCTTCGCACATCCTGAACAAACACACCGTCGTTCAACATATTTAAATAAGCTGTTGTTTTCGCTGAAGTACATGTACGTCAGCGTTTGATGATACATTACAAATTATTATCATTTCTGTTTGCTTTTCTTTATTTCCAACCTAAACAACATCGTTCTTGTGATCGACTTATGAAAAAATTAATAAAGCGTAAGCGGGCCCGAAAAGGTCGGGTTTACAATCAGCCAATCAAATGCCTAGAATGACCGAAAGGTGATATATACAAAGAAAAACGTTAAGCACACCCTAATATATTTCGGAATATTTGTAACAGTCATGAAAGATATAATTACGGGAAGAATTATGTTCTCTCGAGATGATGTAATCAGTCTTGCGTGACGAAAGCTCACGTGCCATGCATGGTATGCCCGTGCAGCATGCTACCCTCGACTATCTCTAAAAGCAGTACTTCCAAACGTTTACAATGCTTTCTTAAGCTCGGTTTTAAACAGTTATTCCATGACATTGTTTGACCATGGCACGAAGGCAATTATCAAACGCCACAAGATGGCAAATAATCGGCATGCATAACGCAGGAATGTCTTGTAATGCCATTAGTTGGAATTTGGGGTATCATCACACTGTCGTAACCTTCTTCGTCTCATAGGGGGAGAACCCTTTTTAACAAGTACTTGTCTGAAGGCTGTGGTTGCCCAATCGTCGTTTCAGCACCAGAACCGTCAGGAACCGCCTGAAAGCAGCAGGACTGAGGGCTAGACGAGTCATAAAGCGCCCCTTGTTGAGAGATCACAACAAAGCTGCTCGTTTAGCATGGTGTATTGCGCGACAGAACTGGAATCTGAGAACTTGGAGACGGATCCATCGGTCAGGCGAAAGTCGCTTTCTGCTCCACGTCACTGATGGAAGAACGAGAGTTTGGAGGCACCGGGAGACGGCCTACACCCCCAGGAACATTATACTGACTGTTGCATACGGCGGGGGCTCGGTAATGGTTTGGGGTGTATCTCTCATGACTGCAGGGTGGATTTGGTCACTATAAGGGGCAATTTAACAGGGGCTCAGTATATCCGGGACGTTTTGAGGCCAGTCGTCGTTCCTAATTTTGACAACCACCCTCTTTGTACTCGACCTCAGTACATGGTTGACAATGCCAGGCCTCAACGTTCGCATGCAGTCGTGGATTACACGAGGGCCAATGCAATAACGACTCTACCCTGGCCAGCACTGAGCCCAGATTTGAACCCCCTTGAACATGTGTGGGATATTCTTCGGCGGCGCATACAGGCAAGAGATCCACCTGTACGAGATTTACGCAAATTGGAAGCAGCATTGCATCAGGAGTGGTTGTTATTGACCCATCAACAGATCCAACGTCTGACTGGAGGCATGAGACGTAGGGTGGAATACGTCATCCGGGCACGTGGCGGATATACCCGCTACTGATCTGTTTCATGTCAAGTAGTGACTTTAAGGAACATTTAAACTCGTTTACTTAATCCTGCAGCTCCATACTTTTTTTAGGTATTGTCTGCGGTCAAAAATAGTACCTGTGTTACCATGATGTTTTTTTCAGTAAATTTCAATCACAACTCACCAATATCTTCCTTATTTGTTATCAAATGTTTGTTCTATCCGATGACATTGGTATTTCCCAGCTCCTGTGGTCAGTCATCCCATGCCATGATTTTTGCCATTTGTCATGGTTCAGAAATAGGGGAGTGCTTAACTTTTTTTCTTTGTGTATATGTGCACAATGTGGTAAGATCAGAGATATGTGCACCAATATGTTTTACACCTGTGGTATTACTGCTAGCTACGACAACCATCCAAGAAAGAATCCCAAGGGGTATTACTGCTAGCTACAACTGCCATCCAAGAAAGAATTCAAAGTGGTATTACTGCTAGCTACGACAACCATCCAAGAAAGAATCCCAAGTGGTATTACTGCTAGCTACGACAACCATCCAAGAAAGAATCCCAAGTGGTATTACTGCTAGCTACGACAACCATCCAAGAAAGAATCCCAAGGGGTATTACTGCTAGCTACAACTGCCATCCAAGAAAGATTCCCAATAGTAAGCTGCCCATTTTGCTTTGTTTTGTTTGTTTGTTTAACGACGCACTCAGCAATTGTCCAGCTATATGTCGGCGGTCTGTAAATTATCGAGTCTTGACCAGAGAATCCAGTGATTGACATCATGAGCATCTAACCAAGCAATTGTGATACGATGACATGCATCAACCAAGTCAGCGAGCCACCCGATCCCGTTAGTCGACAAGCATAGTCGCTCTTAACGGCAAGCATGGGTTGCTGAAGAACTATTCTAACCCGGATCTTCACGGGTCCATTTTGCTTCTGACTGGGTTCTGTGCCTGGAGCGTCAATGTCAACTTTACGATTACAGTGCCGATAATAGTAAAACCTAATTGTACATAATCCATATTTATTATTTGGTCTCCATTAGCAACTGCTTCATCTGATGTAAATGACTTTAATTAATATCTGAGATTAAAAATAATCGTCTTATTATAAGTCGCGATGGATTTCGTGATTTCATTTCTCATTTCGCGTGACATAAATTCCATATTGACGTCATTGCAGATAATCTCTTTCAACGCGCACTATAACGATAACTACATTATTCACTGGAGAAAACAAGTTGATATGCTGAGACTGTCTAATTAAGAATAAACGACGAGTGGGAGATGTTTGTCGTACAATAAACCACTGCAGGAAGACTAATCAATGAGGTGCACAGATAAATGTAGGTATTGTACGATAAACAACATCATCCCGCGGCAACTGACTTTCTATAAAGTCCTTTGCCGCGGGAAGATGGATAAACGACGATCACGAGTCGTATATTTCTCATATGAGATTTCAACATCATGTATAATTTAGTGACAACCAGAAAAGCAAAGGACTAAAAGAATCGCCCTGAAATATTCCTCTTCTAATAGAAATGGATTCCGAAGTCACCACCTGCCCCTGCGAATACATCTCAAGTTGAGTTGACCAGCAATTCATTAAGGATTGAATAAAACAAGTGAGTGAGTGAGTGAGTATAGTTTTACGCCGCTTTTAGCAATATTCCAGCAATATCACGGCGGGGGACACCAGAAATGGGCTTCACACATTGTACCCATGTCGGGAATCGAACCCGGGTCTTCGGCGTGACGAGCGAACGCTTTAACCACTAGGCTACCCGACCGCCCCTATAAAAGAAGTAGTGGCTCGGGAAGATCAATTCATTCCCCTGACTTCAAAATCAATTCGCGAGGTAGAGAATCATAAGCTTTTCTGTAGTGTATACAACACTTTGAGAGGTTGTTATTATTATTATTTACAGATTAAAATAAATAAATGCAGCAAAGAGGGTTTGGGTGATCCTGGCACAGTCAGGCTGGTTAGGCTCATCATCAGCTCAGGGCCCTTGCCCCCTCTACACGCAGCCCAGACAGCGAATGGGACTTCTCCCAGGAATCGCTGCCTAGTCAAACCCACCCAGAACTTTTCGGAGAATGTGAAGACTCCCCAACACTGCAGCCTTTTGCATTACCCAGATTGTCAGAAGGTCTGTATTCCTGGTAGCAAACCCGGGTACTCTCTCGGTGTCAGTCAACAGATTGGGAGGTACCAAACCTAAGGCATCGAGAACAGTGGGGAGTCGGACAACTTGGTACTTGGGATGCAAGCGTGACATTTCGAAAGCGAGGTCTGCCTATTTGCCATGTTTATCCTCAATCTTGTCAATCACATTGTATTTATCAAAAAGGACAAGATCAGGTTTGTTGACCTGGATACGTCTGAGGCTGAATTTTGTATTGATCATTTTCCATAACGTCCTCTACATATTCCGCGTTGTACCATGGGTGCCATCGGAGCATGGCGAAGACGGTAATAAAATGATCGAGCTTCACCATCATGTCGTTTGAGATACTTGAGATTTTTTCAGTTCGGTCGCCATGAACTGGACTTTGCATGGACTTGCTAATAATCATCGTCCTGAGGCAAGGGTATTAACTGACTATAAAAGTCCAGTTTCCACCCTTGCCGAACTAGGGTGAAGTTTCCAGGCTCGTCTGTAGTGGCAATTACGAGTTATGTCCCTTATATGTCCATCCTTTTGACCAATAAGATTCAATCTCTCATATCAGTTGTATTTGCTTCATAGCGGCGCCCAGTCATGGCGATCTGATCGATAATCAAGATCTATATTGTAATATAACGGGTCCTACCCCGGGAAGTGCATCAGATCACTTGAGCATCTTGATTAAAAACATGAAAAAAATTGCCACATATTTGTGGACGCCCAGTTGACCGTACACATACTTTCCAAATCATGCAGTCGACCGACATCTGCACATTGAAAGCCATGAACCAGACGTCTAGTTCGTTACGCGATTTTGATGCGACTATGCATAGACTCGTCAGTACAGCCAAAATATAACTCCGGAAATCCTGCGTAGTTCGGCAAGGGTGGAAACTCGACTTTTATAAGTCAGTTAACACCCTGGGGCGGTCGGGTAGCCTAGTGGTTAAAGCTTCGCTCGTCACGCCGAAGACCCGGGTTCGATTCCCGACATGGGTACAATGTGTGAAGCCCATTTCTGGTGTCCCCCGCCGTGATATTGCTGGAATATTGCTAAAAGCGGCGTAAAACCAAACTCACTCACTCACCCAGTTAACACCCTTGCCTTGGAAAGATGCTAATCCCAAGATTAGTAGACACCACTATCCCTGGAATGATCCGTAAAGATTTTGGCATTGCACACGGGACGGTTAACGAGAAAATAGCATAACAAGTTTTAGATGGACGACTGACATATATTGCGGCCACTTAAAAGCCACGTGACCCCCATCCAAGCCTGGCAGGTGTCGACGTCTCGTATATTGTTTGACGTACAACACCCTAGATGCAGCCAGATGCGATCACCATGCCAACAGTATGACACACAGTTGCATCCTGAATGGCTTTGGCGGGATGTAATCTGGCTGCTGTAGGACCAGATACGGCTTCCTGAGGCCATACCTGTGGCTCTTTATTAACACAGGGAGTCGTGTTGTAGTCTCCCTGATTAAAGCAACAATAACACATACCACTATTACGTTTGTTCGCATTTATCAGCTGCTAAATAACCTGATGAACTTCAACGTGAAAATGGCAAATGTTTATAAACGTTTGACTCATGGGTGATTCTAACATGTGCTTGATTGGGTGGTAGGTCTTGTCAAGAGCGACCGCCTCCGTGGTCTTGTGGTAGAGCTCCTGCCCGGAGAGAGGAAGGTCCGGGGTTCGATCCCCACCCGCGTCATACCAAAAGACGTCAAAAGATGGTACTTGTTGTTACACTGTCAGGCGCTCGGCATAAAGGGGCTAAAACAAGGACTGGTCGGCTCGGAGTCAGTATACTGTGTCTGAGTGGGGTATTCATGTTAAACTGCGGGATGGTATCTCATTGTGCTAGCACTATAAATCGACATCAGTCCGGACTAGTACAAGCACACACACACACACACACACACACACACACACACACACACACACACAAGCATGTGCATGCACGTCGCTATATTTTGAAGTGCAATAATCTTGGACGCGACGTTAAACTCCATTTCACCTCACCTCTTGTCATAAGGAGACACAGTTACGGTCTCGGGTGGATGTACCTGGTAAAACGGATGCTAACCCCAACCTAACTCGACAAACCCCAAAAAGGAATTATTGAAATGAAGTTAATTGATGATGATATATGCTATTTTTGTATCTCTGAATCTGAAAACATACACCATGCATGAATGTAGGTTAGAAGTTGACGTGTACCTACACCAGAAACTTGCGTATGATATTCATATTATCTGTCTAGATCAAATAGTTTGCTACAACAAAAAGAACTCTCTTTTCAACCTTATAAGTCTTCTTGCAAAAAATTTATATTCACCTGTCAATTATTAAGAAAACTCTTTTATACTTTCCTTTCTTCATTAAAATATTGAAAGATGTATGTACAATAGAACAATTTATTGCAATGAATCATAGTAGTATTAATAAATTTGACAGAAAATGGAAAAGTTATCCGCCAACTCATTTTAATATATCAGTCAATACAATATTTGTATATGACCCATATCATGATCATGTTTTATGATCCTATGAATTGCTACACTTATATACATCATGTACCTGTTACATATATAAATTTATGTCTACTGAATTGAAATAAAAATATTTTAAACAAAAGTTTCGTCAACCCAAGACGATCCGGGCCGCAACCATATTGTATGTCATACTTCTGATGGACGCCGTAACTTACAGTTTATGTGGTGAGTATAGCGATCATGGTATCGTATCGAGAGTAAGTGAGTGAGTGAGTTGGGTTGAACGCCGCTTTCAACAGTATTCCATTGATATCACGGCGTGTCAGCTTGATGTGGGAGGAAAAGCTCAAAGTGATGCAGGCCTCAGACGTTTACCACTTTGGTGAAAACCACAAGTATGTGTATGGTGCTGAGAAACCTAGAAACATAATTGTGAGAAATGGGATTCGAACCCACAATCATAGGTTTCTGGCGTGCCCAAAGGACGCAATTCTCCACCGCGAATTGCGGCGCCGTACACGAATGGGTCCGACCCCCCTCCCCACCCCGCACCACCAACCCCCTCCACCCCTACCCGTGAGAAAGTGTCCGTTAGTGTGTGTAGAGTATGAAGTACTTACTTAAGTGTGGCCAACACAAGTAGATGTACCGGTACACGCTTAAGGCTACCAGGGTTTTCATGTCCGCCAGGGCAAAGGTGAAGGTCGTCACGCCTTGTATGATACAGCCGATTTCTCCGAATAAGAATCTCTGGGCAAAACAGGATGTTGTCGTCAAGGGGTACCCAAACAGAGAAATACCCAGGTCTGATACTGTTAGATTAAAGATGAAGAGATTCTGGGGGTTCTTGAGAAGCTTCTTGTTTTTGTAGAATATGTGTAGAACAATCAGGTTACCGAACGTTGCTAGGACACCTGAATAAACAGACATACAAAACATGATATATATTTGGTAAAACGAATTCAGCCTTACCCAAAACGCCATTCGGCCCGTGAAGATTCCGGGGTAGAATAGGTCTTCAGCAACCCATGCTTGCCGTAAAAGGTGACTATGCTTGTCGTAAAAGGCGACTAACGGGATCGGGTGGTCAGGCTCGCTGACTTGGTTGAAGCATGTCATCGATCTTAATTGCGTGGATCGATGCTCATGATATTAATCACTGGATTGTCTGGTCCAGACTCGATTATTTACAGACCGCCGTCACATAGCTGGAATACTGCTGAGTGCGGCGTAAAACAACAAACCAACCAAAACGCCATTCATTTAGTTCCTACAGCAATGTGTATCTGATGGTAGGGCCGCCTCCGTGGTCTAGTGGTAGAGCATCTGCCCGGAAAGCGACAGGTTAGTGGTTTAATCCCCGGCCGCGTCCTACCAACAGAGGCCAAGAGATGGTACTTGTTGTTACCCTGTCTGGCTCGGATTTAAGGGGCTAAACAAGGACTGGTCGGCTCGGAGTCAGTATACTGTGTCTGAGCTGAGTTTCCATGTTTAACTGCGGCATAGTGTCTCAGTGGGCTAGCATTTTAAAACCGCCATCAGTCCGGACTAGTACAAGCAGCCACACGCCCACACACGTGCATGCACGTCGCGATTAAGTGAAATAACCATGAACGCGAGGTACAATCCCATTTCACCTTACTTCACCCGTGGTGGAATTGTACCCAACAAAAAAGTCAACTGAACATTTTACTTGCATTTCGGGATGTTAGCGAATAATATTTTATGCCGCAATCAACTTTTAACGACGGCCTGCTTATATGACAATGGACCAGGCACACACGTGGTTGATGGTAGGGTGGATGGTCAAAACAAGACTCTGACTAATCCGGATTTCGGCCAATACCGAATATACGGTTCCGAATATGGTATAAAAAATACTAATATTCATTTCAATCGTATTTTTATTTCCATCATATGTATATCTACACTCTAACTAATCCGCACCTGTCTAAACCGGACATAACAGTAAGTCTAACAAAAGTCCAGTTTAGACAGAGTCCACTGAATGAAAGGGAGAAATAAACCAGTATGAGACAGATCCAACATTGGGATCAGCCGAACCTCATTATAATGGACACTTGTAACAAAGACCAGGTACCGGGAACGTTGTGTGAACCGGAACCTCTACCTGTGAATACTGTTGAAGTTCACGCTGCTTATTATAGTGTGTGTAATAACATGTATACTGTGAAATGGGTAAATATTAACGCGCTTTGGACACGCAACACGACCCGTGAAGATTCGGAGTAGAATAGGTCTTCAGCAACCCATGCTTGGCGTAAAAGGCGACTATGCTTGTTGTAAGAGGCAACTAACGGGATCGGGTCGTCAGGCACGCTGAATTGGTTGATGCATGTCACCGTATCCCAATTGCGTGGATCGATGCTCATGATTGTCTGGTCTAGACTCGATAATTTACAGACCGCCGAACATATAGCTGGAATATTGCTGAGTGCGGCGTAAAACAACAAACAAACATGCTACACACTGACGGTACAGATCATATTAGTAAAATAATAAATTAGTTCTGCAAAAGTTGAAGGGACAATTTACACTGCTAACTCTTCCGTCACGAACACGGCGTCATGTATTATTTAACATCGAATAGAAAGCGACCATACTGTTTATTGGAATTTTGCTTTCTTCAAATTGACTTCATATATTAAAATTAGCCTCAGAAACTGACTATGCTGTTTATTTGAATTCTGCTTTCCTGAACTTAAATCATATTAATTAACCTCAACTGGAAAATGACAAAAATGCTACTTTCCTAAACTGGACGTTAGATGATATTAATTAACTTCATCTGTACACTGACCCTGCCGTTTATAGGATGCTACTTTCGTGCACGTGACTGGAATATTGCTGACAGCGGCCTTAAACAACATTCACTGACTTGCCCATAACCGCTGGAGTGGTTGTAGACATACAAACGAAATTGGTATTAAAACCATTGGGAAAAAAATCCCATACATGTATGTGTGAGATTACAGTCAAACACCTTTGTGTCGACGTTGAAAGGACCTACGTAAATATTCCGAGTTAACAGTAAGTTCGACACATCAAAGTTCGACACAACAGTGTTTGACTGTAACAACAATACCGCGGAAGAAACGATCCGCTTGGAATGAATTGCAAATCCATGTCCCGTACCCGTAGCATTCATAAACTAGAATCTTCACCTAAATGAAAGCTGTTCTCAACTTTAATTCATTTCACAACTGCGATTTGTTCAGCGGATCCGTAAAACCAGCGGTAAAGAAACAATATCAGTTACACGTTCCACAAGTAAGTTTGTTTATTTGTTTGTTGTTTAACACCGCACTCAGCAATATTCCACCTACTTAATCGAGTCTGGACCAGACAATCCAGTAGTTGACATCATGAGCATCGATCCACGCAAATGGGATACAAACATGCATCAACCAAGTCAGTGATCCTGACTACCAGATCCCCTTGAGATCTTACGACAAGCGGCTCACGCGTGGTCTAAAGCTCCGCAATTCCTTGTGAAGAATAGGGTCGCCTCTCACGACAAGCACGGGCTGCTGAAGGCCAATTCTAACCCGGATCTTCACGGGCACCTCATATGAGAGTGACCAGTATCACCAGCAGGTGTGGGGGAGGTTATGGTTCACGGACGCTAGACTGGTTAAATAACGTAATCCCCGTTACTTTAAACACATGAACGATTTATCAATAAAGTTTACAAATATTTATACAACTCAAAAGAAGTTAAAGAACTCCCGATTCTGTCATATTACTACAGTTCATCAATACATACTAACTATAGTAATATGAAAGAATCGGGTGGTTTTTTTAAGTTCTTTTGAGTAGAATATATTGTTCGTTATTGGTGACATTTTGAGCCATATTGTGAAAACTGGTTGAAGTTTGACGTAGCAAGTGACGTCACATTAAATATTATGACGTCATGTAGTCCCTACAGACCGGCCAGCTGACTTGTATATTTCTTACAAGACTATGACTTGCCAATCAGATTGCTAGATTGTTTTACGTATACCATAATATAATAACATACAGTAAACAACGGTTATAACGAACTCAAAGGGACCACTAAATTTAGTTCGTTATAACTGCAGTTCGTTATAGGCATATATGCATCATATATATACAACAAATGGCCGGGACTAAAAAATAAGTTCCTTATATCGGTCAGTTCGTTATAAGCGTGTTCGGTATAACCGTAGTTTACTGTAATACCCTTACCAACAAAGAGGAGATACACGGCGCAAGCAAAGTACCCTCCGTCTGTCAGCGGCGTCACATTGTAGATCCTCTTCAGGTATTCCCAATCGTCTTCAATATAGGTGACGTTACTGTCAATGGATGTGTTCATTTTGGAGATGTCAGGAACAGTACTGTTTTCAGTGGACCTCGGCCCCTACTCGTTCGCGTCCAATTCACCCGAGGTTTTAAGTGAATAACAACGTCAGTGTATCAACGAAACAATGCGCTTTGACTTCACCAAATATCCCATACGGTACAGCCTCTTGCACAGCTTCATGCACGTCAAAATCTACAGCTTCATATATCACGGCAGGATCTACAGCTTCATATGGCACGACAGGATGTACAGCTTTGTTGGGCACGACAGGGTCTACAGCTTCATACCAGGGTCTACAGCTTCATATGGTTTTGTGCACGTCAAGATCTACAGCTTTATACGGCAAGCCACGATCTACAGATTCATATGGCACGACAGGTTATACACATCTCCATAGGAAAACAGGGAATATAAGCTGGTATCTGAATTGGAAATAACTGCATATTACTCGGATGTGTCTGAATCGTTCGCATGCGTCCACGAGGTTCACCAGTGCATGAACAAATGCCGTTTGAATGTTGCATCTACTGTCAAAGGCGATATTTCCCGCCCACAGCAAGGGATACAGTATCTGTTTACACTATGGACACCGTTCGCTGTCAGCCAATTAGCATAGAATATGCATAAACCTTGCCGTTGGTGACAACACTAATCAGATGAAAGTGATGCATCTTCTTAGTGGGGATAACATTTTAGCACCGTTATGTTCCATTGCCACGTATCATCTAAGCGTAGAAATAAAACCCGAGTCATATCACCGGCCACGTTGTCAACAACGTGAGCATGGAACGCCGTCATGTACAGTTTCACAACACGTGCGATGGCCAGGAACGCGACCAGCTGAGATCGCGAAGTAGGCGTTCTATGAGTACCGACGGTGATTTGTGGTGTACTGTAATTAATCAGTTGAAGAGTATCGGTAGCTTGCTGTGTTTAATATAGTTAATATTTTACTCTGCATCAGCAATTTTCAGGAACATTACGTCAATTATTTGAACAAGAACGAAACGCTTGTACACCCCCAACACTTTCAGGTGAAAGGTTATCATGACTGATCATGAAATTGAACCGTGTAGGAGAACAACTCGTGTCGTGTCATTATTGAACTATATAGTTCACTCAATAATGACACGACACAAGTTGTTCTCCTACACGTTTGTAATAAAGAGGGAGAGAAAGAGACAGATAGAGTGAGTGAGAGAAAGAGAGAGAAAGAGAAAATAGAGAGAGAAAGGAAGAGGAGAGAAAGAGACAGATAGTGGGAGAAAGAGGGAAAAAAGAGAGAGAAAGAGAAAATGGAGAGAGGGAGTGACAGAAAGAGAAAAAATTGAAAGTAGAGAGAGAAAGAGAAAATAGAAAGTGTGAGTGAGTGAGTGAGTGAGTGAGTATGGTTTTACGCCGCTTTTAGAAATATTCCAGCAATATCACGGCGGGGGACACCAGAAATAGGCTTCACACATTGTATCACTGCGATTAGGTGATGTGTCCTGTTATCCAGCTACTCCGACCGGGTGTCTAGTGGATAGAGTGTCTGCTCTGAGAAAGAAGGTCAGTGGTTCGATCCTCGGCCGCGTTTTACCAAAAGAAGTTAAAGATAGTACTTGTTGTTACCCTGCATTAACGGGCTAAAACAAGGTCTGGTCGCCTCGGAGTCAGCATACCATGTCTGAGTGGGGTATCCATTTTAGACCGCAGAGTGATAATTCATCATCAGCCAAGGGCCCTTGCCCCCTCTACACGCAGTCCAGACAGCGAATGGGACTTCTCCCAGGAAGCGCTGCCTAGTCAAACCCACGAAGAGCCTTTCGGAGAATGTGAAGACTCCCCAACACTGCAGCCTTTTGCATTACCCAGATTGTCAGAAGGGCTGTATCCCTGGTAGCAAACCCGGGAACTCTCCCGATGTCAGTCAACAGATTGGGGGGTACCACACCTAAGGCACCGAGAACAATGGAGAGTCGGACAACTTGGTACTTGGGATGCAAGCGTGACATTTCGAAAGCGAGGTCCGCATATTTGTCATGTTTTTCTGAATTTTGCAAATTATTATCTCTGTTGTGACGTCAAAAGTCACTTGGTTTCTCTGAGCTATAATTATCCTCACAGAAACATAGTCTGCGAGTGTTGTGAGCATAGTGCAACAATAGAAACACCAGATTATTTCAAAAGAAGCGTTTCTTGATCTTTCGTGATCTATCACATACTGCTGGGCTGGCCGCGGTCATAATCTCCTGCTCGTCGGAAATAATTGTCTCGTACAAACAGTTCGCACGGCATTGACAGTGGCAAATTGATGAGTTCAGAGTCACGCATTACTTTCCCAGAGAAGCAGAGGGCTCCCTTGATCACGCTTTGATGTATACTGCGGAAGCTTTTAGGGCCATTTGCTTTGATGCTTGATTCTTGAAATTTCAAGATACTTAGTTGAAGTTTCAAGATAGTAAGTTGAAATTTCAAGATACATGAACTGAAATTCTAGGGATATGGAAGTGGGATATGTGTATGAAGATAAAACTCACCTCATTATTTTGTGTAAATAAAGCCTCCATATGCTTGGAAAAAATATTTAGCCAGAAACACGTCTTGAAAGCACTACAGACATGCCCGTCAATACAGGTAATCTTTGACGTAAAGACACGAGCATGAGAGACAGCATACCAGTGACACTTGTTATTAAGAATCATTTCGACCCATGAACATCCGGGTACCCCGGATCATCACGGGTCCCATATCGTGTATGTCCACCACGGGAAACAACGCACGTGCACGCCGACCTGACGACAGGCAGACGATGTGAGACGTATCAGGACTGGTAATTTATTATAGGAGTGGGGTGGGTTCACAAAATGTGAAAACTTCACGTCCGCCTCTTTCCAAATTTCAAATTGATGCGTAAATGTCAGGAACTACTTCGAAGAAATTAAGTAGGTCAGGCCATTCCTTGTAGTGCTGGCAGGGGGTATAGTACTACGGCACACAAAACAGTAAGCTGGTTTTCTGATTTTGAAGTCTTTGAGGTTGGTGGTGAGGGCTTTGACTTTGTCCCACTGGTCAATATATTTACCCTGGTGTGTACATAACAAACTTCTCCACATCAGCGTATCTACATCTTGAATCTACTCTACTGTGTATACACTGTCTCCTACCTGTATATATACTTGTCAACCATACTCTGTCCATCACTAGCTTCATAGCGAAGTTAGAACCTACACCGAAACGTCGCTCCTAATTGTAATAAAGAAGTTGTTCATCCATATATCTTATCCTTACTGAGTACTCCAACTTCTAAATGCCTCTCAAAGAAGTTAATGTGATGTTGGTCAGTTTTCTGTCAGTTTCAAGAAATGTGTACACTGGGCTTTTTCTGCAAATGGTGTAAAAACACATGGTCTTAAATTATATAAAAATGTTTTATTATACCGCTATTTTCATTGTTCTATTTTAACATCACCTACATCTGTACAGTTATTATGTTTTAGTGAAGTGAGAAAATTGTAAAATTCTTTCCATAGGTTAAATTGAAATGTGAGGTAAACAAATATCTCATCTCTATTCTATGTAGGAAAAAAAACCAGCCCCGAAAAATGTAGGAAGAAAATATGATTTTACGACCCACACCCCAACCCCCTCCCCACATGTCAAATGATGTACCCCCACCCCCATCCCTACCCCGACCCCAAAAGTGAACCTTTGAATAACAATCTGGTAATCATGAAAATTATGTAATTTCAAATAATAAGGTCAGTGTTATCGCTACCGTGTTGAAGGGAGTCTTTCTTAACACTTAGCCATGAGAAATGAACAGTTTTGTAATTGTTTTAATTGAACATCCCGGTTATATAATCTATGGTCTTAAAATTGAGCAATTGAGAAATATAGACATGAAGGGGAAAATCACGATTGTAAAGCCGTAATCATCCCTCTTGTCTTGCAGATTGCTTCAGAGGCTGCCATCATTTTGAATGTCCGTTCACAGACCAAGACAGGACGGTGAATTTGGTTCTTCAGTTGATTTCAAACTCTGGTAAATACATGAGGTGAGATACTCATTTAATCTTGGCATGGTTGAAAGAAATGAGGTCATCTATATATCTAAAACTTAGGCTAAACTTCTTTGAACTTGTCCTGTCTTTGATTTTTAATTCAATTATTTTAAAAATCGGATTTGCATGTAAAGAGTGCACATGGGGATACCCACTCCTGGCCAAATGTTCCTTCTCCACACTGTGCGAAGAAACTGTCAATCAGGAAATCCAGCCACTAACATATCTTAAAACAGGTTAAGTCAAACATACACTCTTCAAAAAAAAGAAACGCATAGTTAAAAAATAAGAATATTTATTAAGTGGATGTAAAAGTATCTACACAGAATATGCGTGAACACAATCAAATGAAATTAGACACAGTGAGCGACAAAAGAATTGTCGTCTTTGTCAGCATTAATTCAGTTCAGTCATTGCACATGTGTAGCCACAAGGGGGCGTTATGGTCAGTACCTGGTCACACCACCTCTTGCAGCCGTCACTGCTCGACACCTCCTTGGCACAGATTGCACAAGTCGTCGGATTTTTTCGTGGAGACTTCTTCGCCATTCCTCCTGTAAGGCGTTGGCGAGTTGCGCCAGTGTGACGGGACGCTGGTGACGTTGACGGACGCGTCGATTAAGTTCGTCCCAAAAAAAGTTCAATCGGGGTTGAGATCAGGCGATTTGGACGGACATGGAAGGACATTGATGTTCTCATTAACAAGGAAATTAACTGTTCCACGTGCTGTGTGGGGCCGAGCGTTGTCATGTTGGAACAGCTCCCTCTGGCGGTCCAAAGTTGGGAGGAGGTGAGGACGCAGAATTTGGTCTATGTATCGGTTTGCTGCAAGATTGCCCTGGACAACCACTAACTGTGATCTAACCGTGTAGGATATGGCTCCCCACACCATGACACTCCCTCCACCAAATCGGTCCACCTGTCGAACGCAGTTCGGCGCAAAACGTTCATGTCGACGTCGGTATACACGTTGTCTTCAATCCCGTCGTTGAAGGAGAAAACGTGACTCATCGCTGAACCAAACGCGTCGCCAGTTCCTGAAATCCCATGCTTGTACTCTGTTGCAACACGTCGTTGACGGTGTAGACGTTGCAAGACAGGTCCAACTTCTGGTCGTCTCGCTCGAATTCCCACTTCCCTCAGACGATTTCTGATGGTTTGGTCGGAAATTCTTCGCATACCAGGGACTTGTCCTGCAGTGTCCGGTGCTTTCGCAAATCGACTCCGAAGGTGATGCAACCGGATGTACCGATCCTGAGCAGGGGTGGTCACTCTTGGTCTTCCACTTCTGGGATAATCTTGAGTCGAATTAGTGCGGGTACATCGATCCCATAGTCGAGATATGGTGCTTTGGTGAATGTTGAAGTGTCTTGCAACGGCAGACTGGGACTCCCCTGCTTCCAAACGTCCAATGGCGATATTTCGTTCAGCTGCAGTTAATCTTGGCATTTTTCGATTTCCGTTCACGTCTGATGAATTTTGTACGATCTTTTATAGTCAGTGTCTCTACTCTTGTTTCCAACACTTTGCACATGCATTGTGCTCAA